AACTGTTTATAGGAAAACTTAAATTTGAAGTGATGTGAGCATACTGTAATATATGAAGTGATGTAAGCATACTGTAATATCTTACCAAAATTAATTAAAAGACTTAAGTATTTAGCTAACAAGATTTAAATATTTTTCCAATACCCGGATACGAAAATGCTCTTATATATATATTATGTTAATGCCAAAAAATACAATTATACAATAAAGCGCACATTCTTTTATTAACTCTAGTAGCATTAATACTAATTTTAGCAATTTTGTTACTACAGTACATTAAGTAGTGTACTGTAGATACATACTGTACTTTGAAATTCCTGTATGCTTTATAAATATTTTCTAATATACATACTGTACAGTACTATATACAACCATCTAACAACCTATAACCAAGCAGCATTACTGTTTGATATCTCCAGGAAAATGTAATTGTAAAATGCTCTCAATTTAAAAAGTTTTGACACAAAACCAAACCCATTACAGCATTAAGATTTTGTGATTCAGCTACCAAAAGAAGGTGACTAAATCTGGATTATATCACCCAATGATAGGCACTTCTGAATGACTCAGACATCAAGGTTAACAGTCCAGATTACTCATACAAACAAAAAGGATTCTGATTCAGCATTACTATTATCCATGCAATAAAATATGCATTGTCAACATGTTTAAACACAAGCCTAATTACAGACAGTGCATTAAGCTTACACGTAATTTCAGGTACTATACCACCAAACACATTTACCATGCTGATATGTCTGTAGAATCATCATCAAAGTCTATGCATCAAAATGTTTTTGTTACAGGTTTATAATAAAGGTATAGTAATGTTATAGTCTCCATTGTGCATGGATTATCTTATTGTGCCTTGGGCACAATAAGAACACTGTCAACATCTATAGTCAAAGATTAATCATCCTGCCAGCAGCAAAAATAAAAAACACTGCAGAAACAAGTGTAAATAATTTAATAAAAAAGTGAATCACTACCCTCAAGTGCCAGATCAACCAAGCTGTGATGGATATGTGACCATCAACAGCAATAACCTGATTGAAAATGAAATCAGCAAAAAAAAAAAAAAAAAAAAAAAAAAAAAAAAAATTACAGGTATGTAGTAGGGAGGGAGGGACCCCAATGGAAATAAGGCGCTGATTTTTTCTGGGTTATCCTAGGTAATTTACACTATGATAATTGTACTTGTGTGTATCTGTGCCTAAATAAACTTACTTAGGGAAAGAACTAGTGCTCTGCCATAAGATTGTGAAACTGAAGTTTGTTGAATGTTTGTTACCTTCATAGTACTGTTTGTTCTCAGAAATATGCCAGACAGAAGATTACTCCTACAAACTACTTCTGACATTCAGTATACATCTGACATTGCCATGTTTAATATTTTTTATTCCAGTAATACAGTATTTACCTTCCACAATTATGAAACTTAGTGAGAGATTGGAATATGGAGGCAAAAGCCCAGAAACATTAACAAAGATTGCTCCAACAGGCATGCAAGGAAATTCAAGTTAGTTTTGTTCCCAAAAGAATGGAGACCCTCAACATGTACCAATATAATTACAGGTGCATCACTGATTTTTCAACACTCTTGGTTCCACAGCCTTGCTGGATTATCCACCTTGCTGGACCAACAAAGGTCACATAAGACAATATGTATACTACTAATAACTACTGCATACTTACAAATAATGTTGCAGTACTATCACATTCAAAGTGGTAAATTTTACTGAAACTGTACAGATAAATTTTTTAAAGAACTTGTCCAAGCAAAGTTGTTATATGTGCTTTGATCTTTTCCCATGTAATTTTTCATGCATTGAATAAAGATTCATTAGCACTTCTGTGAGAAAGGTACATTATTCTAGCACCTTTCATTAATTCACCCAATAACTCAACTCAATTAACTTGTTAACAGTAAATCTTTTAGCTACACTGACATTTGCATTTTACTTAGAAGCCATAGATAGGGTTAAATGAACAAAAAAAAAAAAAAAAAAAAAAAAAAAAAAAAAAAAAAAAAGTCAAGAATTGCACAAAATCATGGTATCACCACCAACTTCAGTGTAAACAATGTAACTGTGCATGCTCTACACACAATGCCATCTGTGGCAGCTAGCAAATTAAATTAGTGGTCGCAGGGAATTTCGAGTGTTCTCGTATTTTTGTCCAGGTTGAAATTGATGTTGGATTATCATTTTCCAGAAAATGGGTGGTGTACCTGTATAAGGTCCAAACGAATTTATTAATGTGCTTAAGCCATGAAACAAAATTAAAGGATATGTTAAAAGTGCCTGAAAAATGTACTAAAATTCTAGGGCAAAAAGTAGTACTTAAGAAACCCCCCAAAATTTTCAAAGACAATGTTTTCACTCTTCACTATCTAACAACATTCTAGTTTCAAACTCTATCCTAATACAATATTTTTAATAACTACCCTAATTCCTTCATACTTTTCACTATCCACATTTACTGAAATGCCAATGTTAAAGTAATTCTTAAATTTGTTTATACTGGTAAATAAATTTCACTTGCCTAAATTTAACCTGTTATGTTAAACTACATCATTGAGGCCAGGATCTCTCACTATTTTACATCATGAGCTCAGCTCACTCAGATAAGCTGTGCAGTAAGTTTATTCTGGTACAATTACACACTCTTTGGATGATTACTACAGTGAGTGTGTGTGTGTTGTGTGTGTGTGTTGTGTGTGGTGTGTGTGTGGTGTGTGTGTGTGGTGTGTGGTGTGTGGTGTGTGGTGTGTGGGTGTGGTGTGTGGGTGTGTGTGTTGGGGTGTGTGTGTGGTGTGTGGTGGTGGTGTGGTGTGTGGTGTGTGGTGTGTGGTGTGTGGTGGTGTGTGGTGTGTGGTGTGTGGTGTGTGGTGTGTGGTGTGTGGTGTGTGGTGTGTGGTGTGTGGTTGTGTGGTGTGTGTGTGTGTGTGTGTGTGTGTGTGGTGTGTGTGTTGTGTGTGTGTGTGTGTGTTGTGTGTGTGTGTGTGTGTGTGTGTGTGTGTGTGTGTGTGTGTGTGTGTGTGTGTGGTGTGTGTGTGTGTGTGTGTGTGTGTGTGTGTGTGTGTGTGGTGGTGTGTGGTGTGTGTGTGTGTGGTGTGTGTGTGTGGTGTGTGTGTGTGGTGTGTGTGTGTGGTGTGTGTGTGTGGTGTGTGTGTGTGGTGTGTGTGTGTGGTGTGTGTGTGTGTGTGTGTGTGTGGTGTGTGTGTGTGGTGGTGTGTGTGGTGGTGTGTGTGTGGTGTTGTGTGTGTGGTTGTGTGTGTGTGGTGTGTGTGGTGTGTGTTGGGTTGTGTGTGGTGGTTGTGTGGGGGTTTTGTGTGTGTGTGTGTGTGGTGTGTGTGGAAACTACCGAGGATAACCCAAAAAAGGCAAATGGGTGACATTTCCATTGGGTTTCTAAGATAAGATAAGATTTCGTTTGGATTTTTAACCCCGGAGGGTTAGCCACCCAGGATAACCCAAGAAAGTCAGTGCGTCATCGAGGACTGTCTAACTTATTTCCATTGGGGTCCTTAATCTTGTCCCCCAGGATGCGACCCACACCAGTCGACTAACACCCAGGTACCTATTTGCTGCTAGGTGAACAGGACAACAGGTGTAACAAAACATGTCGAAATGTTTCCACCCGCCATTAATAAATGTTTAGGTATAGATGGGAAGGCAATGTCACGAGAAAGATAGTTTAGAAATAGAGTCAGTCAATAAACCAAACATAATACATGTATTTGCTTCATGCAAATATGGGAAATATGGGTGGGATTATCAGAGAGGACTCGGAGCTATGTACATATCCTAGTTTCCATGCCACAGGTAATCCATCCCAAGAGGTGTTCTATAGTTCCTATAACCCATTATTACTGATCTATATTCAAGAGGAAGTGCTAAATCCATAGGAGAGGTGCAGCACCTTGAGAATGGGAGGCAATTAGGTTTGATACAAGAATGGGAAGGATAGGTCTAATTCCCTGTATGAAAAGATCCTAACTGGTATCAAGAATCTTCCTTGAGGGGTTCCATACCATAGATACCATTCCCCTAGCACTCTACAGTTTCCTGCAACATGCTGCTTCATCCCTCCCCTAGACATGGATGATACAATTACACTTGTGAAACACTTGGGTATCTATATTCTGGAAACACTTCACCAACCTGTGGCTTCCTCAGCCCAATACAGAGAAGAATGGTTGAACATCGGGAGCTTGAGGTAATCAGTCCCTCAGCTTGGAACTGATGTGATCAGTCCATCTGTCTTGTATTGCACATGTATCTAATTCATCATCCTGTCGGTTCTGACCCATTTATCTACAAAGATCATACAGCATATTTTCCTACCACAGAGATAAGAGAGTATGTTATTAATACATTGACGGAAAACCACTATCCTTAAGGGTCATATAATGTTAAACAGCAGAGGCGAGAGAGGGTAGAGGAGGGAAGGAGGTAAGGACATCAACAGTGGTGTAACAGTTGTAGTCACATGACATCACAATTGATGTATCCCGACACATACAACACACCTGTTATATATCTTAGTTAACATTATGACCAGGGGAGACCTAAGTGCTTGCATGACAGTCACTGGTTAAGTATTATATTAAAACAACATGCGCTAAGCCCATATGGATCATACTGAAAGTTTTTTAAATATAAATGTTCACAGTAAGTCGTCCCAATAACTAGGCCCAGTTGATCATTAGGCCTAACTGATCGCTATAACCCCTCACCCACCAGCTGTCTTTACGTTGTCAAGGTAAAACAAGCTAGGCAAGAGGACAACAATCAATCTTGGCATCTGTTCTCAGCCTGACAACATCAAAGGAACATAGCATTCTCCTAGCAGACGACATCAGCTGACACCACTCCCACTGTCAACAAAACTATATACTGGAGTGACAGCTGTCAACACGACTCTCCAGGTGGTCACCCAGGCCCTTCATGGCTCACCCCCGCCACCTGAGACGCCTCACAAGACACTACACTCACCTATCTTCTGGCCTACAGGGGTGCCAAACGGGTTGCCTCCGAAGAACGACATCTTGTGTTGTGACGTCATCACCTCCCTTTCTCTGTCGCGTTCATAAATAAAAATAATAATAAATAGTAAATTTGTGTTTTAAAAATAAATGGATTCAACAATTCTGGCTAAACAGTGTGAAAACATACGTTTAATCGTTATTATACTTACAAAAAATACTAAACCCGTATGGGTCATACAGCAAATATACATAGAACAAAACACATATGAACGTTCATATTAACAGGCAGAGTTGTAATGAGAAATTAAGTTAAGTTTGTGTCTAGCATCAGGAATAATATTAGGAGAGAAGTAAATAAAGAGTGTAATAGGAATGTAGTTAGAAGCCTGAGTAGATCTATAACTCACTATCATAACATGAACGTTGGTAAGTACGTTTATGGATCAACTTGTAATGTGAACACTGACTGATGTGATAGCCAGGCTTAGGCTTACCTGGAGAGAGTTCCGGGGGTCAACGCCCCCGCGGCCCGGTCTGTGACCAGGCCTCCTGGTGGATCAGAGCCTGATCAACCAGGCTGTTACTGCTGGCTGCACGCAATCCAACGTACGAGCCACAGCCCGTACATGAACGTTGGTAAGTACGTTTATGGATCAACTTGTAATGTGAACACTGACTGATGTGATAGCCAGGCTTAGGCTTACCTGGAGAGAGTTCCGGGGGTCAACGCCCCCGCGGCCCGGTCTGTGACCAGGCCTCCTGGTGGATCAGAGCCTGATCAACCAGGCTGTTACTGCTGGCTGCACGCAATCCAACGTACGAGCCACAGCCCGGCTGGTCAGGTACCGACTTTAGGTGCTTGTCCAGTGCCTGCTTGAAGACAGCCAGAAGTCTATTGATAACCCCCTTATGTATGCTGGGAAGCAGTTGAACAGTCTTGGGCCCCGGACACTTATTGTGTCGTCTCTCAGTGTACTCGTGGCGCCCCTGCTTTTCATCGGGGGAATGTTACATCTCCTGCCGAGTCTTTTGCTTTCATAGGGACTGATTTTCGTGTGCAAGTTTGGTACAGAGATATCTTATTAATGAAAAACATGATACCAGACATATTAAGCAAATTTCCCAAATTAGCTTGCAACAGATAAGTCAACTCTAGGTATAAACCCAAATGTGTTGCTGTTAACCCTCTTGGAGCCTGGTTCCTAGGTCTTTTGTGTACTCAAAAAAGTGGCGTATGGTGGGTTATTGTGCATGATGTTGACTACCATCTTAGAACAACTGCCACAATATTTCATTGCAAGAGACAGAAAAAAAAGTTTCCCATTATGATCCATGATTACATTATTGAGTGAGCTTAATATTCATGACGCATTTACCATCTTCGGTGTGTGTGTGTGTGCGGCGGTCACCTAGCACACCCAGAATATATACCCCACCGCCTGCCCATATATGGTCTTGCACTACTCTCCACAGGATGGATGTGAGGCGCACAATAAACTATGTAGCCGCTTCAACGGCGTAAGTCTAATATCTTTAGAGATGTCCAACAATAGTTAAACAATTATTAGACTTAATTTAGCCTTTTTCGCTTGCAGTTTATAATTTACACCCTGTTTAAGCACAAAACTTAATGTGGTGTCTGACTTTATTAGATTATCCTAGGATAATTAAGTATCCCCGAAGGAGTACCTAATTGCAAAGCCTGTAAAACTGATTTGTGTAAAAAAAAAATCGTTTATAACTAGAGAACAACGCATCCGATTGGTTTCAAATTTTCAGCGTTGGTGTACTGTAATTAGGGAAAGGTTCATGAAACTATTGGCATGTGTAGGTGCCTGCGGTCAGTTTTATATTGACTTTTATATAGATTTTAGTTTTCTTGCGATACCTTGAGAAAGCCTCTTCTGATCGGCTTCAAATTTACGATAATAGTGTATCCGACTTAGAAGAATGTAGGATTTGCTGTTAGAGTGTGTATTACCTATCACCTACAGGATGGGTATGGGGTGACTACCACCCAAAGGATGGGTATGAGGGTGACTACCACCTGCAGGATGGGTATGGGGTGAATACCACCTATAGGATGAGTGTAGGGTGACTACCACCTACAGGATGGGTATGGGGGTTACTACCACCTACAGGATGGGTATGGGGGTGACTGCCACCCACAGGCTGGGTATGAGATGACTACCACCTATATTATGGGTATGGGATGACTACCATACACAGGATGGGCGCGGGATGACTACCACTTACTGGATACATTAATGTTAATAAAGTAGTATTAAGTAAATAAGTATCCTGCATGACAGATGTGTTAACTAAATACAGTCAGCTCTTGGTGTAACCTTACAAAATATTATATCAGAATTCTTGCACAAAGCGACGTATACAATTTTTCCTAATAAAAAGTCCAAACATGAATGTTGCCATGCCATGGTAACCATAGCAACGAGGACGCCAAACCAAGCGTCTCATTGCTAGACAAAACTTGCACCTGAAAACTTTAAGACATAAACAGAGACGTTTGTTAATGTGAAAGCAATTGAAAAGGAGTTATTTGACGAATGAAATGTAAATTTTCCCAGTAAGCTGAGACATATTAGTGAGAGCCTTCAGGATGAGCTCCAAATGGGGGACAAAAGGTAAAGATGGTGATATGACAGGGTCGACTAGTGAAAATGACACAGACGGAGAGAAGAGTGATGAGAATAGTCAGGACTTAGAGAATGTGATGAGTCTCTGCAAGGAGTCATCTAGCGGCATCATGGCTACTGTCTCATCACTACGCTCAACGGTAACTTCCACAACCTTGGTGTATACTTAAAAAAACATCCTAATCTTGCAACCCGTTTACTTGGCAGATCTCTCAAGGGTAAAGCAGTAAGTCGGTCACTAAGTATACACAAACTGATGAAAAAAAACAGTAAAAAAATAAATTAACCGATTGCTGAGCACGTGATCACTGTGAACATAATGGAGGAGACATGGTCACAACATGCAAGATACACACACTTGAAGGAGGCGTGGTTGCAACACAGTGGCTCGTGGCATGGTAGACAAAACTCTTGCTATACACACTGAGTTTCCGTGGTTCGACTCCCTGGAAAGAGTGGAAACATTGGGCGTGATTCCTTACACCTGTTGTTCCGTTCACCTAGCAAGCAAGTAGGTACCAGGGTATTAGTCGACTGGTGTGTGTCGCATCCTGGGGGACAAGATTGGGGACCTCCAATGGAAATAAGACTGACAGTCCCTCGATAACGCACTGCTTTTCTTGAGTTATCCTGGGTGGCTAACCCACCGGGGTTAAAAGTCCCAACAAAATCTTATATCTCTCTAAAATACAAGATACACACACTTGAAAGTGATATGGTCACAAGATACACAGCTTCATGATCTTACGCTACTCACCCTACACCAGCGTTGAAAATGTCAAGTTAATCGAATTATTCCTTCTCGTATTATGAACAAAATTAAAATGAAAAGTTGGAAGAAAAATATAATAATAATAATAATAATAATAATAATAATAATAATAATAATAATAATAATAATAATAATAATGGTTTCAGCTGCAGTCGACGAGGCGGATAGACGGGGAAGTGGATGAAGATGATGGCAAAGAGGTGGGCGTGATTTGTGGGCGTGAATGGGTGGAGATGGACCCCCTGACTCTTCAAGTGGTGGGGGAGGCGCTGGAGGAACAGGAACCCCACCTTCCCACCCTCACCCACGCCAACGCTGCCACGGCAACCGCCCACGTCAAGTGTCTCTCCCTCCAGTTTAAAAGTACGTGTGTATTGTTATTGTATGTAGTGAATGTACCTAGTTAGTTTGTTTTATTATGCACTTGATGCCCATCCTATGGGTGGTAGTCTACCTGGAAGGTATTCCGGAGATCAACGCCCCCGCGGCCCGGTCCACGACCAGGCCTCCTAGTGGATCAGGGCCTGATCAACCAGGCTGTTACTGCTGGCCGCACGTAGTCCAACATACGAACCACAGCCCGGCTGATCCGGCACCGACTTTAAGTATCTGTCCAGCTCCCTCTTGAAGGCAACCAGGAGCCTATTGGTAATTCCCCTTATCCTTGGTGGAAGGCTGTTGAACAGTCTTGGGCCCCGGACACTTATGGTATTTTCTCTAAGTGGGGGTATTTTGCATCGCCTGCCCAGTCTTTTACTTTCGTAGAGAGTGATTTGTGTGTGCAGCGTCCGGACCATTCCTTCTAGAATTTTCCAAGTGTAGATTATGATATATTTCTCTCGCCTGCGTTCCAGCGTGTACAAGTCAAGTGCTTCCAAACGTTCCCAGTAGTTGAGGTGTTTGATGGAACATAATTATATGTGCAGTAAAGGTTCTCTACACTTTCTAGATCTGCAATTTCACCTGCTTTGAACGGAGATCTTAATGTACAGTAGTATTCCAGCTTAGAGAGAACAAGTGATTTGAAAAGGATCATCACTGGCTTGCCATCTCATGTTTTGAACGTTCTCATTATCCATCCTATCATTTTCTTTGCACTTGTGATCCTTGAAAGTGAGATCCTCAGACATTACCACTCCCAGGTCCCTCACATTATTTTTCCGCTCTATTGTATGATCAGAGTTTGTAATACTATGTTCTAGTTATTATCTCCTCCAGTTTTCCATAACGGAGTAGTTGGAATTTGTCCTCATTGAACATTATATTGTTTTCCGTTGCCCATTAAAAAGCTTTGTATCTTCTTGGAGGTTAACCGCGTTTTTCAATAGATGACATCCTCATGCAGATCCTAGTATCGTCTGCAAAGGATGACACGGTGCTGTGGATTACATCTCTGTCTATATCTGATATGAGGATGAGGGTGATCGTCAAAAATATTTCAGAGGTGCATAATGGGTCAAGTAGAGCATGTATTACCAAAATAACGATGAACCTCATATATTAGCCCATGTGTTGTCAATATGATAAACCTCACACATTTTGGTAAGGGCCGGTATAGTAGCCTACTGATAAAAAGAAGTGTCCTAGAACAGCCCCTTGCCTCACTCCATTACTCAAAGAACTCCCAGTTCTCATTATTCTGTTTAACAGTCAACTTATCAAATTAATATGAAACAAAAATGTATCCAACAAAAACAGAGCTGACTCTACAGTTTATATATTATTCCTTTCGTTTGGATAATTAGTATTATATTCACAGGATCATACATGTAGGTTAGGTTAGGTAAGGTTTGTCAGGAAACAGGACAAGTGTTTCCTGACACCTGAAGGGTGTTTCGGGGGTCAACGCCCCCGCGGCTCGGTCCCTGGCCAGGCCTCGCGGTGGATCACGGCCTGATCAACCAGGCTGTTACTGCTGGACGCACGTAAACCGACGTACAAACTACAGCCCGGCTGGTCAGGAACGGACTTAGGTGCCTGCCCAGCTCCCTCATATGATACCCGCCACTGGAGTTTTTGGTCATCTGACCGAGGCCTTCCACTGGCTTATCGGTCCACCCCTTTAAAAATTATGGTTATATTCTTAAATGTAGCGCTTGGGAACTGGTTGTAAATCAGGCTTGATCTGAGGAACGGGAAGATCTAAACCCTTGAATCAAAAGCCCTTTACCAGCCTCAAGGTACCCCTCTTGAAGAGAGTTTCATTCTGAGTGTTCGATCTCATATACGGTTTTAGAAGCATTACGGTTAAGTTAAATTAGATAATTTAATATGAAATAACTAAGAGTAGCTAGTAATACGAACAGGGGTTACGTTATGTAGTGGAAACAGCGGCTCAATGAACACATATGTCTTGCCTAAACACGTTAGAGGCCAAGCACTCATTATGAGGACGAATTAAATACTGGATATTGCGTAAATAATTCCGCACACAGGAGAACCCAACTTATGACGTTACTGTCCAACTTGACCAGCAACTAGTGTGGCTAATTAATTGTCCAAGTCGGACCGAAATGTCGTCAGAAGTTTCTCCTATGTGCGGGTTATTTGTGTATTGTTCCAGTCATGGTATTGTGCCTGTTTATTCTAACTGGATGATATTGTCATCAAACTGAAGAAGAACGTAAGTATCTTACTGTCAGCACACTGAAAAGCCCAAAACTAAAGAAGGTCAATATAGAGGCCTATGTAATCCATATATTAAACTCACAACTGTTAGGCACTGCGCTTACACTCTCCTCTTAGTGAGACTGACACAGCCTGGCCTCTGTCACTATCTCACCTTATCTCAATTAATCTTGATAATGAATCAACATCACATTTATGTACGTTTTATATGAAAATTATTATTATTCTCATCTTCTAGCCCCAAAATTGAGGATAAAATAGAGTTGATGGAAAGCGTTTAGGCGCTATCTTTGTTATGTATACTAGACAATGCTGAGGCCTAGTGTTATATCCTAATTTTCATAATTACGAATCCTTAAGAATTACATAAACATGCGTATTTGTGATGCATATTTGTCGAGTCTTAGGAAAATTATGTCGCCATATTAAGTGCGTAAGATGATTCTCTCTCACGCTTCACTTCTGTTGATTAATGCAGGTGTAGCCACAGGTGAAGTCACAAGTGCAGGCATATTTGCACAACCAGCCGTCACCACCACTTTCACTATCACCCTACCAACTCCATCACCACCACAATCACTAACAAAGTTATAAATTAATAAGTAAATGTTAATATATTATTCAGACACACCGACTTTCCCAATATTCACCACCATGGGCAGCTACTGCACACACACACACACACACACACACACACACACACACACACACACACATGGCATGATAGAATAAAACGCTGAGAGGAATTGACAAGGTGGATAGGGACGGGATGTTTCAGAGATGGGACACAGCGACAAGGGTCACAACTGTAAGTTGAAGACTCAGATGAATCACAGGGATGTTAGGAAGTATTTCTTCAGTCATAGGGTTATCAGGAAGTGGAACAATCTGGAGAGTGTAGTGGAGGCAGGATCCATACACAGCTTTAAGAGATACGATGAAGTTCATGGAGCAGGGAGAGAGTGGACCTAGTGGCAACCAGTGAAAAGACGGGGCCAAGAGCTATGAATCGACCCCTGCAACCACAATTAGGTGAGTACACACACACAAACATACGCACATACACACAAACACACAACATACACAAACACACCACACACACACAAACACACCTAGTAGCTACCAGTGAAGAGGCGGGGCCAGGAGCTGTGACTCTCTCTCTCTCTCTATATATATATATACATATATATATATATATATATATATATATATATATATATATATATATATATATATATATATATATATATATATATATATGTGTGTGTGTTGTGTGTGTGTGTGTGTGTCGCGCCGAATAGGCAGAACTTGCGATCTTGGCTTAAATAGCAACGCTCATCTTGCCATATAGGACAAGAGAAAATTTCTGTATGCAATAATTTCGCCAAAATCAATCTAAACCTAACGAAAAAAATATATTTCACTGTGTTTGTTTAGTTTAAATTATTGTAAATAATTCTAAAATATATTTAGTTGGGTTAGGCTAAAATAAATTGTTCTTGTTTTAATAAGGTTAGGTAAGTTTTCTAAGATTCTTATGGTGCAAAAGTAAATTTTTTTACATTAACATTAATGAAAAAAATATATCTTTAAAAGTATAAGAGAAAATTTTAGATTGGATTTAATTTTAAATGAGTTCTTGCTAATTGACCAGTTTTACATATTCGGCACATATATATATATATATATATATATATATATATATATATATATATATATATATATATATATATATATATATATATATATATATATATATATATATATACATATATATACATATATATATATATATATATATATATATATATATATATATATATATATATATATATATATATATATATATATATATATCGGTTTACATCACTAGGCGAACACGGTGTTGGGTTGCAGTGATAGGACACGTCACCGACACGTTTCCACCCACAAGTTTCCTGTTTCAGGACATGGAACAGGATGTATAAGTGACGATATCTGGTTTTGCCTTCCCACCTTCCCGTCAGTCACGTAATCATTGATAAATATAAGCAAACCCATGAAAATAATCGGAAAGCGCTACGCCAATAGGGGGGTCATACTGCCCTTTTGGGTGGAAGGTAATCATGTTCAAGCCAAGACACTGGTTACTAGTTCAAATTCCTGGGACAATGCTCTCGCCTCACATGCTAAGTGTCTGTGGTTCAGTCCCCGGCCGGGTCGAAACACTGAGTATGTTTCCTTACCCATGTATAAACATAAGTCAGTAAATTTACTTACATGATTCATTACCTTTGTAACTTGTGACTTCATTACCTTTGTAACTTGTGACTTCATTACCTTTATAACTTGCTCAGCTATCAAAACTTTGGGGCCCAGTCCCTGGACCCATTATGTACCTCTGTAATCTTTTGACTACCGCCCACAGGATGGGTATGGGATGCATAATAGACATTTTAAACTAACTGCTTCCTTACACTTGCTGTCCCTGTTCACCTAGCAGTAAGTAGGTACTTGGGTGTTAGTTGACTCAGGTGTGGCTCCCCTGGGGGACAAGATTAAAGGACCCCAATGGAAATAAGACAAACAGTCGTTGATGACACCCTGACTTTCATAGGTTATCCTGGGTGGCTAATCCTCTGGGTTAAGAAATCCCAACAAATCTTAATCTTACCTAACCCAGACAAGCCTGACCACACCTGACCCAATCTAGACAAGTTAAGCAACTCTTGATCTGACTGAAACAAGTCTAGGAAGTTGATGAGGCCCTTCAAGGCAGGGAGGAGCGCCCTGATGCCTAGGAAGGGCTCTATATCCAATAAATTGGACCTATATTCCTATTCCCTAGATCAAACTTGATTACCTCCGAGGAGGTAACTATTCTGGTCTGTAATTATTGTGACATGTTCAGTCAGGGTGTGTCACTGCTCAGTATATTCACCTCAATATATTCACCCGTCTTAATTAAATCAATATAAATAACAAACAGTATAAGACGCCAGTGAATTATGTACATGAATATTTGGGTTTATCATGAACTCGACAAGGAAGAACAAAATCATGATATAAAACATTGCTATCTTCACGTGATCTGATATCTTAACATTAAAAAAAAATCTTAATCAAGCATAAGAGTTTTTATGATATCAAAATATCTTCAGGTTTTATTTTGTGTACTTGTGCGGATTGTTATCTTCTTGTCCTTTCCTTGTTTCCCTCTCATTTCCGTGACGTTGTATGACACCTACGGATTTAACGCCTGCCCGTGTATATATTAATAATAATAATAATCCTTGATTCATCTTTTTTATTTATTTATTCCTGCCTTAAATTTGCATTTTCCTTTGCCCAAAGCTCTGTAACATTGTGAATATTACATTTGTAATGTTCAAGCACCTAATAAAACTTATTGTTTTGATTTCAGTGTGAATGATTTTCTTAAGTGTGAAAGTTTTTTACTGACTTAACCCTTGTTTTTCAATATAATAATAATAATAATAATAATAATAATAATAATAATAATAATAGTTATATTGTTAGTGAGTATATATGTATGTATCTTCTAGGTCTGGGGAGTCTGGACTTCCTGTGGATGTTGACTAACCTGAGGAGGCTGGAGGCTAGCAACAACGCCCTGACCCACACCAGAGGACTGGAGAGGCTCATCAACCTCACCTGGCTCGACCTCTCCTTCAACCAGGTGAGTACAGGAGGGCCCCACTTATACAGTAGGTTAGGTTCCTGACTACTGCTGTTAAGCGAAAATCGCTATGAAATAGAATATAATACAGTTTTTTCACTTTTAAATGCATATAAAATCTTAATAACATGTTTACACTATCGTATATTAAGTGAGCAATAGAACTACGCCAAAAATGCATATGCAGTACACACATTACTTACCTTTTGTGCCTCCTCCCATGGGAGACTTAGGTCTCAGACACTCCCTAAAGAGGGAGCCAAGGCCGGGCCACCACTTGGAAAAGGCCCGGGCCGGGAGAATATCGGCGAATCTTTAATAATAATAATAAATAATACTTACCTTAAAATATTTTCATTCTTAACTTTTAGTCCGTGGTGAATATATTTATTGTAAGAAGTCTGAATAAATGAAGAATGGGTAAAATTGAAAACTGCTGTTAGAAAAACGCTGTAAAGCGGGGCCCGAACGTACATCACTTCATTTCACCTTAAAATAAGTGTAGGTGAGATAATCTTATCTTGTTTCTGGTGATGCCGATCGTGAAACCACATTCAGGTCTTCCCTAAGTATACAGTTATTTCTAATGTACATAGGCCTTCCCTATGTATACAGGTATTTCCCTTGTATATATGCCTATTTTTATATTCCTCATTTTACCTTTCCGTGGTTCGATCCCCGTTACGGGTGAAAATATTGTGCGTGTTTCCTTAAGACACCTTATGTTCCTGTTCACCTAGTAGCAAGTAGGTACCTGGGTGTTAGTCGACTGGTGTGGGTAGCATACTGGAGACAAAATTAACGTAAGTTGCCAGAAATGCTCTGCATAACCAGGGGCTTTCTATATAGTATGTCATTGATGTCAGCTAGGTCTATATAAGTTGTATCATGTACATATAAATATAAATATTATTATTATATTCAGCTACAGCTAGGTAGAAATATAATTATTACTATCTTGTTTTTCATGTGTTTTATAGTGGCTGTGTATCAGACTACCAGAAACAAAATCCTGGCTCATCGAGACTTTATAGGTCACTGGCAGCGAAGCTCAACGAGAGAGAAAATGAGGAAAAGGTTATGGAAATAACAAAGGTTGCGAACATCACGTGAACTGTGAAGAATGTGACGTAAACGAACTGACGAGTGGCGATGGTGATCATTGTGATGATTGGTGGTTTAGTGATGCTATGGTAATGGAGTTAAACATGCTCGTGCTTGTGGTGCTGTTAGGGTTTATAGTGATGGCGGTAACGGAATGAATAGTGATGGTGGTCATGATGATGACGACAGTAATGATGATAATGATGGACATGCGGCAACCAACCAACTGTTTCTAAATTTTCCGAATTTTCTAGCCAATTCCTAACAAATTCATTGAGTAATTTAGCTTCTGAAAAACGTTTATGCCGAAAGGCCTAAGCTATATAACCACCCCTCCTCGTGTTTTATTTGCGTGTTGTTATCACAGAAAAACCACTGCGAAAAGAACAGTGAATAGGGAGTACACTATTCTTTTCACACTTGTTCTCCATATTGTGATACCACCTGTTTACTGTGATCTTATTGTATATTTAACATGTATGTATGTGTATGTATGCCATACAGATAACTGACGTAAGCAGCTTGAAGACTTTACGTCGTCTTGAGGTGGTGTCTCTCCACAACAACTGTATTAGTCAACTAGACCGAGGTACCTTCCAGCCCCTGCTCAACCTCCACCTCCTCACTCTGGCCAACAACCGCATCTCACACATGCAAGACGTCAGTAACACTTTCTTAAAAGAGCACTGCAGTAGGTTTACTGGCCATTCCTGGGAAGTTCAACTCACATCAAGGGCTCATTCAAAACAGAAATTATATTATTTTCTAAATTACTCTTCAGTTATAAGAATACTATACAGGATTAAATACATAAATTTACGACGTCCATGTGTATGGACTCACATGTATGTGGTGTGTGTGTGTGTACTCAACTAATTGTACTCACCTAATTGTGGCCCCGCCTCTTCACTGACCGCTACTAGGTCCTCCCTCTCCCTGCTCCATGAGCTTTATCATACCTCGTCTTAAAACTATGTATAGTTCCTGCCTCCACTACATCGCTTGCCAGACTATTTCACTTCCTAACTGAAGAAATACTTCCAAACATCCCTTTGACTCATCTGAGTCTTCAGCCTCCAATTGTGACCCCTTGTTTCTGTGTCCCATCTCTGGAACATCCTGTCTCTGTCCACCTTGTCTATTCCACGCACGTGTGTGTGTGTGTGTGTACTCACTTAATTGTGGTTGCAGGGGTCGAGACTCAGCTCCTGGCCGTGTGTGTGTGTGTACTCACCTAATTGTGGTTGCAGGGATTGATTCACAGCTCCTGGCCCCTCCTCTTCGCTGCTCATTACGAGGTCCACTCTCTCCCTACTCCATGAGCTTTATCGTATCTCTTCTTAAAGCTATGTATGGATCCTGCCTCCTCTGCATCACCCTCCAGATTTGATGAATAGTTTTGAAAACCGACAAGTTGAAGAATTAAGACACTTATGCAACATATGGGATTCTTTACTGAAGAAACATTTCGCCACACAGTGGCTTCACAGTGGCGAAACGTTTCTTCAGTTAAGATTCCCATATGTTGCGTAAGTGTCTTAATTCTTCAGCTCTCCAGATTGTTCCACTTCCTGACAACTCTGTGGCCGAAGAAATGCTTCTAACGTTCCTTTGACTCGTCTGAGTCTCTACCTTCCAGTTGTGACCCCTTGCTCCTGTGTTCCATCTCTGGAACATCCTGTCCCTATCCACCTTGCCAATTCCTCTCAGTATTTTATATGTCGTTATCATATCCCTCCTGTCCTCCAATGTCGTCAGGTCGTTTTTCCTTAAACTCTTCTTGTAGGACATACCCCTTAGCTCCGGGACCAGTCCTGTTGCAAACCTTTGCACTTTCTCTTAATTTCATGACGTGCTTGACCAGGTGTGGGTTCCATACTGGTGCTACATACTCCAATATAGGTCTGACGTACACGTCTTGAACGATTCCTTTCTAAGGTGACGAAACACTATTCTTAGGTTTGGCAGGCGCCCATATGCTGCAGCAGTTATTTGGTTGATGTGCGCCTCAGATGTGCTTAGTATTATACTCAACCCCAAGATCATTTTCCTTGAGTAGGGTTTGCAGTCTTTGGCCCCCTAACCCTATCTGCGGTCTTCTTTGACATTCCATAATCTTCATGTTTGTGTGTGTGTGTGTGTGTGTGTGTGTGTGTGTGTGTGTGTGTGTGTGTGTGTGTGTGTGTGTGTGTGTGTGTGTGTGTGTGTGTACTCACCTAGTTGTACTCACCTAGTTGAGGTTGCGGGGGTCGAGTCCGAGCTCCTGGCCCCGCCTCTTCACTGATCGCTACTAGGTCACTCTCCCTGAGCCGTGAGCTTTATCATACCTCTGCTTAAAGCTATGTATGGATCCTGCCTCCACTACATCGCTTCCCAAACTATTCCACTTACTGACTACTCTGTGGCTGAAGAAATACTTCCTAACATCCCTGTGATTCATCTGTGTCTTCAGCTTCCAACTGTGTCCCCTTGTTACTGTGTCCAATCTCTGGAACACCTGTCTTTGTCCACCTTGTCAATTCCTCTCAGTATTTTGTATGTCGTTATCATGTCCCCCCTATCTCTCCTGTCCTCCAGTGTCGTCAGGTTGATTTCCCTTAACCTCTCCTCGTAGGACATACCTCTTAGCTCTGGGACTAGTCTTGTTGCAAACCTTTGCACTTTCTCTAGTTTCTTCACGTGCTTGGCTAGGTGTGGGTTCCAAACTGGTGCCGCATACTCCAATATGGGCCTAACGTACACGGTGTACAGGGTCCTGAATGATTCCTTATTAAGATGTCGGAATGCTGCTCTGAGGTTTGCCAGGCGCCCATATGCTGCAGCAGTTATTTGGTTGATGGTGTGTGTGTGTGTGTGTGTGTGTGTGTGTGTGTGTGTGTGTGTGTGTGTGTGTGTGTGTGTGTGTGTGTGTGATCTGTACACAGTTAGTATGTAAAGTTCTTGACATCTGGATGACCTTACGTGGACGGTGGTTTACGAAAGTGTTTTAAGTACGTAACAGTTGATGTGCATCAGTCTGTAAAGTGCGTGATGACTTGTCCTTGCTGTTGGATATGTGATTGTTGGCACCTGTGTTGGAGTGTATGATTGCTGGCACCTGTGTTGAAGTGTGTAATTCGTGGCGTCTGTGTTGGAGAGTGTAACTGTTGGCTGCTGCGATGGAGTTCTGTACATGATTCCTGGTGTCTTTGACTAAGTGTTCACGATGCGGACATTGACAGGTACGGACTCTGCGACAAGTTCGCAACCTGGCGAGTCTGAGTCTGGCGAACAACCCGCTATGTGATGACCACTACCCAGCGAACGTTCTGGCCATCCTCCCAGGCCTGGTGTACTTCGATCACCGCCTTCTCACCCCAGAAGACCACGCCCGCGCCTCCCACCAGTACAGGTACACCCAACACGAATAATCTTAGCAAATAACAGCTGTCATGACTACTGGTGCTTCATAATAGTTGCTACTATTATCTAGCATAATAGTTGCTATTATTTTCTATCATAATAGTTGCTACTATTATCTATTACAATAGTTGTTATTGCTATCTAGCATAACAGTTGCTACTTTTATATAGATTTAACCAAGGGTAACCCAATAAAGTTAAAAAGCTTCACATTTCCCCTACTGTATTAGGTGAGAGGGTTGATAAATCATATCATATATTTATGAGCGACGTATTGTCGCTAAACACTACATTTAAAAGCTCAAGAACAATGAAAACCTCAACACGGCTTCACTTTAACACTGTCTCTCGGCTAGTTTACCCATAAATTACACGTAGTTCCAAGGATCATCGATGTTCCCGCGGCCCTGCCTTAGACTTACTGAGTTATTATATTTCAATAAATGAATTTTTCTCTTCGTTCACACTCTTATTGAGCCACTGGCAATGTATAAAGGACAATATACACACAATGACTCATCAACTGAATTATATAGACTGCTGGCTTGGTAAATATTAGTACATGAGCTACTATATAATTGTACAGACGTGTGTGTGTGTGTGTGTGTGTGTGTGTGTGTGTGTGATGTGACTATCAAGTGATCTTGGGAGTGGGCGTCACCCACCACTAACACAGGGCAGCCACTCAAGTGACGCGCCCACTGACAGCTGCCAAAATTTCGCCATAAAATGTTAGTAAGTAAGTAAGTTTATTCAGGTATACGCAAATACAGTTACATAGAATTATCATACATAGCAGCATATATGTAGAGAGCCTAGGATAACCCAAAAAAGTCAGACAGAGTGACTTATTTCCATTGGGGTCCTTTTACCTTATTATTATAATATAAAGGTTATAATATTTTCTTATTATTCTATAATAAAGATAACATCTTATTATCATACTAAAAAGACTATCTACTACACCAAGGTCATTAAGACTATCTACAATACGAGGGTCATTACTAGGAATAAGGTAAAATTTACACGTATGTTAGCTAAAAAATAGAAAATCATTCCCCTCCCTTTCTGTAGCTACATTCATCAGACACCTTTTGGCACTCTTCTTGAACTGGTTCATGCTATGACTGGCTTTGACATGTGCGGGTAGTCTGTTCCATTCCTTTTTTATTGCTGTACAATAAAAGGTGTTTGAAGCCTGGCCAATGACTGTGGCTACTACAAAGTTGTGCTCTCTCCCCCTAGTACTATGATTGCTTTGGTTCCCAACCTTGACAAAATTGACAGCAAGATATTCTGGACACTGTTTGTGAGCAATTTTATAAACATGATTTAGCTTCAGTTGTTTTACTCTGTCTTCAACATTAAGCATATCCAACTGCTGTAATTCATCCTGGCCTACATGTTCTCTTGGTCCCAGCCCCAGGATGAATCTTACGATTTTGTTTTGGGTGATTTGCAGTCTATCTTTCAGTTTTTTTGTCAAGGCAGAGTACCATGAAGAGCAAGCGTAATCCATATGGCATTGTATAAGGGCTAGACATAGGGTCCTGCGAGCCTCAGTAGGTAGACACTGCGCTTGTCTATACAGAAACTTCAGTCTGGCATTCGCTTTCTTTACTACACTGTTCCCTATCAATTCTCCTGACATGCATGGGTCAAAGGGGATTCCCTTTTGGCACTGAAACACTATATTATATATCGCACAAGTGTAGAGCCCACACCGTAAATCATTACAAAGCTGTGAAAATGTAATAGTTTAACCGCTAGATGGTCCTGAAGCTACGAGGAAACACTAAAATGACTCTCATAGCACTGAAGGAACCAAGTGTTAAGGGAAATACAATCGTGACATACAAGATACTTAGGAATATCGAGAGGATGGAAAAGGACATAGTAGGAAGAGGGCGTTATGTTGCGTTCCTCTGAGGAGGAAAGTGATGCTATAGTCTGTCCCTCCGGGAAAGGAAGGTGGCACGACATTTAATTTTTCTGGGGAAGAAGACGGCTGAACATTCCCTGCCCCAGAAGGCAGGGAATGTTTGGTACCCATGCTGGTACCAAAATCATATATACCCGTGACTGCAGCTGTATATGACACATACAAGTTTTAACCTTTATAATTAATAATAATAATAATGATAATAATAATAATAATAATAATAATAATAATAATAATAATAATAATAATAATAATAATGTAATAGTAATAATAAAGTATAGCAAAATCCATGTGGAATCGTTTGTGTCATTGGCAAGTGTTTATTACTTTTTTGTGTTAAAAAAAGACAGGTCGGAGGTGGAGGTGGTGGAGGCACAGGAGGAGAAGGTCCAGAAACAGGAGGAGGAGGAAGCAGTGACAAGGAGATCGCAGGAACATCACTGTCGAGCAGGAGTCCTCGCCCTCAACGACGGTTCTCTCTTCTCCAGGATGTTCAGAGGAGATAAGGATATGGGGGTTCTCCTCCACCTTCCCGGCGCCAACGCTCTCATGACCAAGTAAGTTTATTTAGGTATAGGTATACATAAGTACAATCTATCATACATAGTGTAAATTACCTAGGATAACCCCCAAAAAAGTCAATGACTTATTTCCATTGAGGCCTTGAAACACTGCGAGAGTGTGTTGAAGGTGGGAAATGTGTGTCTGAGCTGGGAAATCATGCGCGCGTCGAAGCGAAAGATGATGGGTATGTCTGAGCTGGTGCATAATGTGTGTGTCTGAGCTGGTGGATAATGTGTGTGTCTGAGCTGGTGGATAATGTATGTGTTTGTGTCTGAGCTGGTGGATAATGTGTGTGTTTGTGTCTGAGCTGGTGCATAATGTGTGTGTTTGTCTCTGAGCTAGTGCATAATGTGTGTGTTTGTCTCTGAGCTGGTGGAAAATGTATGTGTTTGTGTCTGAGCTGGTGGATTACGTGTGTGTATCCGAACTGGTGGATAATGGGTGTATTTGTGTCCAAGCTGGAAATGTGTGTCTGAACCAAGAAATATGTATCTTCTTTTTACACTTTCTCTCCGCACTCTTTTCTCATTGGAGATAAACTGAAAGGCGGTGAGATGTAAAATGATCAAGTTATAACTTGTATAAAACAAAAGTCCTACAAAGCAAATGGAGAGAGCACTTGAACGTGTTTCTCCTCCCTAGGTATCGGGATCAGTTCAACGCTGTGTGTCTGCGGGTTTTCAACGCGGGTCTGGCGCACGAAGATGAACGCCAGAGGGAACAGAAACTCTTGCAAGAGGCTCTTAACACCGCCAAAAACGACGCAGATAAGCACGCCAGAGGGTATGTTGCGTAACATCATGTCCTGACCCTTCCTTGTGAACTGCGCTGTCACGTGAGTTACAGGGAAGCTATGTAGATTAATGTATTACAGGGAATGTTTTGACTAACATGAGTTACATGTTTACCTGGAGAGAGTAGACTACTATATTACAGAGAATGTTTACACTCACGAGTTACAGGGAAAACTGTTACCTGTTACATTTTTTTGTATAATTTTAATCATGGGGAAGAGCTAAGCCCATAAGAGCGAAACGCTTATGAAATGGGAGCTATGTGACATAGGGAATGGGCGCTATGTGACTTAGGAAATGGGCGCTATTTCCTCTTCAGAGACAGGGAGGATAAGTTCAGTTCCTTGTAGATAGATTAACGCACGTATTACAGGAGGGTTTTTACTTATCACATGAATTTCAGGGAAACTTCTAAATAATACATGTATTACAGGGAGCGCCTAGAGCCTAGAGTCCTAGATTAAACTTTCCAAGAGGGTTACAAGTGGTACAGGAGAGCATGTTACAGGGTGGTGCGTCGGGTGGAAGCAGAAGTAGAGATGGTAGTAGCAGCCGCCAGGGAACTAAGGGAAGCAGAAGAAGCCAGTCTTGGAGATGACCAAGTTAGTACCCAGGCCTACTCTTTTTCCAGTTTTGGAGATGACCAGGTCAACAGGACTACAGCTCACTTTGCTTACTGCTACTGTTGTTTCCTTCTGTATACTACTGCACATTATTTTGCTCTTCACATACTATAGAATTTTGAAATGTCACATTTTCCTTTGTGAAGGATGGATTATTATATTCAAGGGAAGCCCTAAACTCGCAAGGGTCATACAGCGTGAATATGATAATGGTATGCAATACCTACAAGTTGATAAATAAGACAGCAGTTGCACATGTTTTATTTATCGAGTCATACAGCGCTTGGGAAATGAAAAGCAATCGGGCTCGACCCAAGGGAGGAGAAGGTCCAGTTCCTTGGATCAAGAGCTTCTCACCAGCATCATAGGACTTCCCTTGATAGGTGTAGCGAGTTCAAAACAGCACCAGTATATCGCCTGCTACCTAAGCTGTAAATCAAGGACTCCAATGGAAATAAGTCACTTTGACTTTTTTTTAGTTATCCTAGGTAATTTATACTATATATGATAATTGTACTTATGTGTACCTGTGCCTAAATAAATTTCTCTCTTGTTGTAATATGGTGACGCTTGTTAAACCTGCAGGAGGCTCACACTACCAGGGTAGCCAAGGCTGTAGCACTCAAGGAGCAGTTTGACACATTACTGGACGAAGCCTCACAAGAACTCCTCACTGCTGAGGTCACACTTGCTGACCAGGTCAAGGTCAGTAAGCATTATTATTATTATTATTATTATTATTATTATTATTATTATATTATTATTATTATTATTATTATTATTATTATTATTATTACAATGTTTGGCTTCTTACCCCTCAAATTTTCTATTCTATAGCAGAGGCGTCGCTAGAGTTGGCATCACCCGGGGCAGCATCTTTGGTGTCACTCCCATGAAATCCAAGGGCGGGGGGATGGGGGGAGTAAACTCCAGTTACATCACTGCTGCATGACCCCTCAAGGAAGGTTCCTTGATATTGGTGAGGGGCTCTTGATTTAGAGAATTGGATCTGTGCTCCAGTTCCCCGAATTAAGCCTGAATGCCTTCCACATCCCCCCCAGGCGCTGTATAATCCTCCGGGTTTAGCGTTTCCCCCTGATTTTAATAATAATAACTGCTGCATGACCAGTGTCTAATGTTTAACAATGAGAACGTTTAAAGGCCATAAACCGAACTTTATTAATGATAAAATAAATAATCTTAGTAATATTGAGGAAACATAAACTCAAATACCACTTTGAGTACAGGCAACAGATCCTACATTTATTCATCTTCTCCACGACTATGGTGCTGTTCGCACCTACTCCTAGGTTGAGGGACTGATTACCTCATCTTCTGTACATAGTTCTACTGTCTTCTAGTTATGTCCTAGAATTTGTATTGATAAAGCCACTGGATGGCGAAACGTCTACAATAAAGATACCCAGATGTTGCACATGTGTCTTACTCTCATCTTCAACAATAAAAAAAAACTTGAAAAATAAAGAAAAACACTAGTTCCGATTTAACCTTGAGTACAGGTAACCTCTCAAAGAATCTGATCTTACATTTCCTTGCCTTCAATCCTGCAAAATCATCTATCACATCAAAATCAGTGATTTTCACTATATAGGCCTATTTGTACTATGTAATCCTATAATAGGCTATGTAGAAACGAAGAATTTTTCTCTTATGTTGCTGCAGCATGGTTTTGGTCATTAGTGTTACCTTCTTTAGAGGCTCTATGGTGTCCCCCTAAATGGTGTCACCCGGGGCGGCCGCCCCCCCCCCCCTTACGACGCCTCTGTTCTATAGTTAGAAATTTGGATACGGACACAACTGTTACTACGCTGAGGTCAGTGAGGTACGCTGAGGTCAGTGGTCACGTGTGGTCATACCTGTCCTGAGCTGTGTGGGTATTAGCGAGGGGTGTTACCAAGCACCATGGCTTGTTGTAGTGTTTTAGAATCTCAGCTTAAAGTGTTGAAGAAGGAGGTTCTACTTCTTCAGGAGGAAAATAAGAGGCTGAAGCTTTGCCTGGATGAGTTTGGGAGTGAGTGTGAAATAGATGTTGCTGGTAAGGAGATAATACTTACCAGCAGTAATAGTGGCAGCCACTTTAAGTGACAATTGGTTCAAAGTTCAGGAAGAAGGAAGATAAGGAGGGTTAATAAAGATGTGAAGGTAGGAAATCGATTCTCTGTTCTTCAAGACGAGTGTACTTCAGTGGTTAGTGAGGTTAAAGGTACCTCTGACTCCCCTGCTAATCAAGGTAAGAATATTCTGATTGTGGGAGACTCTCAGGTAAGATATATGGGCCGTGCATTTTGTAATGGAGATAGCAAAGTCAGAAAGAGAGTGTGCCTCCCAGGAGCTGGTGTTGGTGACAGTCAGCAGGTTGGATAATATTATGGCAGGTAATGAGAACAAGCCCATTATCTGTTTTAGTGCTGGGGGTAATGACACTGGGAAGGGCAGGAAACAGGAGCTACTGGATAAGTACAGGTCAGCCATATAAGTAGTCAGGTCTAAGGGAGGGATCCCTATCATATGTAGCATTTTGCTTAGAAGGGGAGTGGGCAATGAATGGATGTCTAGGGCAATTGGTATAAATTGCTGGCTAGAAAGGTACTGCAAGGAACTCGCAATCCCATTCATTGATAACTGGGACAAATTCTATTTATTTATTTATGTCTTTGCAAACAGTACATTGAGATTTTATATTTACAGTAGTGGGTTGCAATGCAAAGAGAGCCTCTATTATGCCTAGGCATTATCTATGGCAAACATGATATGTATGCAAGGGATGGGGTTCATCTTTCTGGGGTTGGAGTGGTTGCATTAGCCAATTCGATTGAGGGGGTTATTGATGACTTGTCTAGAACTTTAAACTGATAGATTATAGAGGTATGGGTGTTTGAGGGAAACAATCAGGCTGCAGTATTATTGTTGGAAACAGCAGATATTATCAGGATACCTCAGGAATATGTTTAAAAGACATTATTCAAAATAGAGTTCCTAATAAAGACAAAACAACTGATCAACAAACAAAGGGAGATGGTAGAGGGCAACGAGTGACTAGCTCCCATAAGGTTTACTATACAAATAGTAGGAGTCTAAGAAATAAGATAGATGAGCTAAGATTACTCGCAAGTGCAGGTAATATAGATATTATTGCTATAACTGAGACCTGGTTCAACTTGAAGGATAGAGAAATGCCTTCTGAATGCAGCATAAAGGGTTATAAACTATTCCACACTGATAGGGTCAACAGGAAGGGTGGTGGAGTGGCGATGTATGTCAGAGATAATTTAACTTATTGTGTTAGACATGACATAAGAATAGAAACATCGGACACAGAATCTGTTTGGCTACAGTTTCTCGAGTGGTATGAAAAATTAATTTTGGGTGTGATATATAGGCCCCCAAACCTTGATAGGGAGTGCAGTAAGCTGCTGTGGGACGAAATTCATAAGGCGTCTAGATATGAAAATGTGTTAATTGGGGATTTTAACTTTAGACAAATTGATTGGAACAATTTGACAGGAAATCTTGAATCTAGTGACTTTCTTGATACAGTTCAGGATTGCTTTTTAAAACAGTTTGTGACAGAACCAACTAGAGGAAGCAATCTGCTTGACTTGGTTCTTGCCAACAAAGATTCACTAATTAATAATCTTGAGGTTAATGATGAGCTTGGGGAAAGTGATCACAAATCACTTAGTTTCAGTATATTATGGAATTCCCCAGTAAACTGCAATCAAGTCTCTGTCCCAGACTTTCGATTGGCTGATTTCCTGGGACTGAAAAATTACCTGGGTGGGCTAAATTGTGATGATCTGACTATGGGTCAGGTAGCTGGTGTTGGTTGCCAATATTACGTTTTTCAGAGCATAGTTCTAGCTGCTCAGTCAACTTTTGTTCCGAGTAGGGAAATTAGATCTAACAAAAATGATCCCAAATGGATGAACAGTAGATTAAAACATCTCATAGGTCAAAAGAGAGGCATATATAGGAGTATCAAAAGAGAGAAAGGGCAGTTAAGAAATCAATACATGTATATTCAATTAAAGAGAGAAATAAAAAAAAGGAATAAGAAAAGCAAAAAGGGATTATGAGGCTAAGGTCGCAAGGGATTCGAAGACTAACCCAAAAGGGTTCTTTCAGGTATACAGAAGTAAGATTAGGGACAAGATAGGCCCACTTAAGAGTAACTCTGGTCAGATCACTGACAGTGATAGGAATATGTGTGAAATTTTCAATTCTTACCTCCTCTCAGTCTTTACTAAGGAAGATACTAGCGAAATTCCAGAAATAATAAATTATGTAGAACAGGACGATAATAAACTATGCACGATTCCAGTAACTAGTGACATGGTCCTCAAACAAATAGAGAAATTAAAACCTAACAAATCCCCAGGCCCTGATGAACTGTTTGCAAGGGTGTTAAAGGAATGTAAAGAAGAACTTTGCAAACCTTTGATTAATCTTTTCAACATATCACTACAAACTGGCATAGCGCCTGATAAGTGGAAAATGGTAAATGTAATACCTGTTTACAAGGCAGGTGACAGGTCCTTAGCTTCGAACTATAGACCAATAAGCCTTACCTCCATAGTGGGAAAATTTATGGAATCAATAATTGCCGAGGCAATTCGTAGCCATCTTGATACCTGGACCTGGAGTTTACCTGGAGAGAGTTCCGGGGGTCAACGCCCCCGCGGCCCGGTCTGTGACCAGGCCTCCTGGTGGATCAGAGCCTGATCAACCAGGCTGTTACTGCTGGCTGCACGCAAACCAACGTACGAGCCACAGCCCGGCTGGTCAGGAACCGACTTTAGGTGCTTGTCCAGTGCCAGCTTGAAGACTGCCAGGGGTCTGTTGGTAATCCCCCTTATGTATGCTGGGAGGCAGTTGAACAGTCTCGGGCCCCTGACACTTATTGTATGGTCTCTTAACGTGCTAGTGACACCCCTGCTTTTCATTGGGGGATGTTGCATCGTCTGCCAAGTCTTTTGCTTTCGTAGTGATACCTGGAGTTTACCTGGAGAGAGTTTCGGGGGTCAACGCCCCCGCGGCCCGGTCTGTGACCAGGCCTCCTGGTGGATCAGCCCCTGATCAACCAGGCTGTTGCTGCTGGCTGCACGCAAACCAACGTACGAGCCACAGCCCGGCTGATCAGGAACTGACTTTAGGTGCTTGTCCAGTGCCAGCTTGAAGACTGCCAGGGGTCTGTTGGTAATCCCCCTTATGTGTGCTGGGATAGGCATAAACTGATAAATGAATCTTAACACGGTTTTACTAAGGGGCGTTCCTGTCTTACAAATTTACTAACTTTATTCGCTAAGGTGTTTGAGGAGATAGATCACGGTAATGAATATGATATTGTGTATATGGACTTCAGTAAGGGTTTCGATAGAGTTCCACATCAAAGACTTTTGAGGAAACTTAAGGCACACGGAATAGGAGGAGAAATTTTTTCCTGGGTAGAGGCGTGGTTGACAAATAGGCAGCAAAGAGTTAGCATAAATGGGGAGAAATCAGAATGGGGGCACGTCACAAGCGGTGTTCCACAGAAGTCAGTGTTGGGCCCCTTGTTGTTCACAGTTGACATAAACGATATAGATGAGGGAATAAATAGCGACATAAGCAAATTTGCTGATGACACCAAAATAGGCCGTCCAATTCATTCTATTGAGGACATTAGTGCACTCCAGGATGATTTGAATACTGATGCAGTGGTCGGAGAAGTGGCAGATGCAGTTTAATATAGACAAATGCAAAGTGCTAAATGTTGGACAGGACAATAATCATGCCACTTATAAACCGAATAGTGTAGATCTTAATACTTCTGATTGCGAAAAGGATTTAGGAGTTCTGGTTAGCAGTAATCTGAAACCAAGACAACAGTTTACCTGGAGTTTACCTGGAGAGAGTTCCGGGGGTCAACGCCCCCGCGGCCCGGTCTGAGACCAGGCCTCCTGGTGGATCAGAGCCTGATCAACCAGGCTGTTGCTGCTGGCTGCACGCAAACCAACGTACGAGCCACAGCCCGGCTGGTCAGGAACCGACTTTAGGTGCTTGTCCAGTGCCAGCTTGAAGACTGCCAGGGGTCTGTTGGTAATCCCCCTTATGTATGCTGGGAGGCAGTTGAACAGTCTCGGGCCCCTGACACTTATTGTATGGTCTCTTAACGTGCTAGTGACACCCCTGCTTTTCATTGGGGGATATTGCATCGTCTGCCAAGTTTTTTTGCTTTCGTAGTGAGTGATTTTCGTGTGCAAGTTCGGTACTAGTCCCAATAGGACTTTCCAGGTGTATATAATCATGTATCTCTCCCGCCTGCGTTCCAGGGAATACAGGTTTAGGAACCTCAAGTGCTCCCAGTAATTGAGGTGTTTTATCTCCGTTATGCGCGCCGTGAAGGTTCTCTGTACATTTTCTAGGTCAGCAATTTCACCTGCCTTGAAAGGTGCTGTTAGTGTGCAGCAATATTCCAACCTAGATAGAACAAGTGACCTGAAGAGTGTCATCATGGGCTTGGCCTCCCTAGTTTTGAAGGTTCTCATTATCCATCCTGTCATTTTTCTAGCAGATGCGATTGATACAATGTTATGGTCCTTGAAGGTGAGATCCTCCGACATGATCACTCCCAGGTCTTTGACGTTGGTGTTTCGCTCTATTTTGTGGCCAGAATTTGTTTTGTACTCTGATGAAGATTTAATTTCCTCGTGTTTACCATATCTGAGTAATTGAAATTTCTCATCGTTGAACTTCATATTGTTTTCTGCAGCCCACTGAAAGATTTGGTTGATGACCGGCTGGAGCCTTGCAGTGTCTGCAATGGAAGACACTGTCATGCAGATTCGAGTGTCATCTGCAAAGGAAGACACTGTGTTGTGGCTGACATCCTTGTCTATGTCAGATATGAGGATGAGGAACAGGATGGGAGTGAGTACTGTGCCTTGTGGAGCAGAGCTTTTCACCGTAGCTGCCTCGGACTTTACTCTGTTGACTACTACTCTCTGTGCTCTGTTAGTGAGGAAATTATAGATCCATCGACCGACTTTTCCTAAGAAAAAGGAGGAGTATATGTAAAATAGAAAGAGACAGGCGCTCCCTTTACAGGCGACGGAAAAGAATAACAGAGCGGCTAAAAGAGGTCAATATATCTGAAATGCGTAGAGAGACACTGGTCAGAGAAATAGCAAGCATCGAACTTAAGCTAAAAGAATCCTTTAGGAGTCTGGAATCGCGGGAAGAACTAAAAGCCATAAATGAAATCGAAAGAAACCCAAAGTATTTCTTCTCCTATGCCAAATCAAAGTCGAGAACAACGTCCAGTATTGGGCCCCTACTTAAACAAGATGGGTCCTACACAGATGACAGCAAGGAAATGAGTGAGCTACTCAAGTCCCAATATGACTCAGTTTTTAGCAAGCCGCTAACCAGACTGAGAGTCAAAGATCAAAATGAATTTTTTATGAGAGAGCCACAGAATTTGGTTAACACAAGCCTATCCGATGTTATCCTGACGCCAAATGACTTCGAACAGGCGATAAATGACATGCCCATGCACTCTGCCCCAGGGCCAGACTCATGGAACTCCGTGTTCATCAAGAACTGCAAGAAGCCCCTATCACAAGCCTTTTCCATCCTATGGAGAGGGAGCATGGACACGGGGGTCGTCCCACAGTTACTAAAAACAACAGACATAGCCCCACTCCACAAAGGGGGCAGTAAAGCAACAGCAAAAAACTACAGACCAATAGCACTAACATCCCATATCATAAAAATCTTTGAAAGGGTCCTAAGAAGCAAGATCACCAACCATCTAGAAACCCATTAGTTACACAACCCAGGGCAACATGGGTTTAGAACAGGTCGCTCCTGTCTGTCTCAACTATTGGATCACTACGACAAGGTCCTAAATGCACTAGAAGATAAAAAGAATGCAGATGTAATATATACAGACTTTACAAAAGCCTTCGACAAGTGTGACCATGGCGTAATAGCGCACAAAATGCGTGCTAAAGGAATAACAGGAAAAGTCGGTCGATGGATCTATAATTTCCTCACTAACAGAACACAGAGAGTAGTCGTCAACAGAGTAAAGTCCGAGGCAGCTACGGTGAAAAGCTCTGTTCCACAAGGCACAGTACTCGCTCCCATCTTGTTCCTCATCCTCATATTTGACATAGACAAGGATGTCAGCCACAGCACAGTGTCTTCCTTTGCAGATGACACCCGAATCTGCATGACAGTGTCTTCCATTGCAGACACTGCAAGGCTCCAGCCGGACATCAACCGAATCTTTCAGTGGGCTGCAGAAAACAATATGAAGTTCAACGATGAGAAATTTCAATTACTCAGATATGGTAAACACGAGGAAATTAAATCTTCATCAGAGTACAAAACAAATTCTGGCCACAAAATAGAGCGAAACACCAACGTCAAAGACCAGGGAGTAATCATGTCGGAGGATCTCGCCTTCAAGGACCATAACATTGTATCAATCGCATCTGCTAGAAAAATGACAGGATGGATAATGAGAACCTTCAAAACTAGGGAGGCCAAGCCCATGATGACACTCTTCAGGTCACTTGTTCTATCTAGGCTGGAATATTGCTGCACACTAACAGCACCTTTCAAGGCAGGTGAAATTGCTGACCTAGAAAATGTACAGAGAACCTTCATGGCGCGCATAACTGAGATAAAACACCTCAATTACTGGGAGCGCTTGAGGTTCCTAAAACTGTATTCCCTGGAACACAGGCGGGAGAGATACATGATTATATACACCTGGAAAATCCTAGAGGGACTAGTACCGAACTTGCACACGAAAATCACTCACTACGAAAGCAAAAGACTTGACAGACGATGCAACATCCCCCAATGAAAAGCAGGGGTGTCACTAGCACGTTAAGAGACCATACAATAAGTGTCAGGGGCCCGAGACTGTTCAACTGCCTCCCAGCATACATAAGGGGGATTACCAACAGACCCCTGGCAGTCTTCAAGCTGGCACTGGACAAACACCTAAAGTCGGTTCCTGACCATCCGGGCTGTGGCTCGTACGTTAGTTTGCGTGCAGCCAGCAGTAACAGCCTGGTTGATCAGGCTCTGATCCACCAGGAGGCCTGGTCACAGACCGGGCCGCGGGGTTGACCCCCGGAATTCTCTCCAGGTAAACTTCAGGTATGTGTAGGACCCATCTTGTTTAAGTAGGGGCCCAATACTGGACGTTGTTATCGACTTTGATTTGGCATAGGAGAAGAAATACTTTGGGTTTCTTTCGATTTCATTTATGGCTTTTAGTTCTTCCCGCGATTCCTGACTCCTATAAGATTCCTTTAGCTTAAGTTCGATGCTTGCTATTTCTCTGACAAGTGTCTCCCTACGCATTTCAGATATATTGACCTCTTTTAGCCGCTCTGTTATTCTTTTCCGTCGCCTGTAAAGGGAGTGCCTGTCTCTTTCTATTTTACATCTACTCCTCCTTTTTCTTAGAGGAATAAGCCTTGTGCATACATCGAGTGCCACCAAGTTAATCTGTTCTAGGCATAAGTTGGGGTCTGTGTTGCTTAGTATATCTTCCCAGCTTATATCGGTTAGGACTTGGTTTACTCGGTCCCACTTTATGTGCATAAGTGCATAAGTGTTCGCAATAAAGATAACAGAATCCTTGACTTCATATCAAGAAGTATAAATAATAGAACTCCTCAGGTTGTTCTTCAACTCTATATATCCTTGGTTAGGCCTCATTTAGATTATGCTGCACATTTCTGGTCACCATATTACAGAATGGATATAAATGCACTGGAAAACGTACAGAGGAGGATGACAAAGTTGATCCCATGTATCATAAATCTTCCCTATGAGGATAGACTGAGGGGCCCTGAATCTGCACTCTCTAGAAAGTCGTAGAATTAGGGGGGATATGATTGAGGAGTATAAATGAAAAACAGGAATAAAGGGGATGTAAATAGCGTGCTGAAAATATCCAGCCAAGACAGGACTCGCAGCAATGGTTTCAAGTTGGAAAAGTTCAGATTCAGGAAGGATATAGGAAAGCACTGGTTTGGTAATAGAGTTGTGGATGATTGGAACAAACTCCCAAGTACCGTCAGAGACGCTAAGACGTTGTGTAGTTTTAAAAATAGGTTGCATAAATACATGAGTGGGTGTGAGCTGGACCTGACTAGCTTGGGCTACCAGGTCTGGTGCCGTGCTCCTTCCTTAAGTGGAAGTGACCTGACTAGGTGGTCATTGTTCTAGGCCGGGGGGGGGGGGGTGGCATGGACCTGCTTCGCATGGGTCAGTAGGCCTGTTGCAGTGCTCCTTCTTTCTTATGTTCGTATTGTGTAGGATGTGGTAGATCGTGCCAGAGATGAGCTGGGCAATCTTGTGGGAAACTTCCTTGAACAAGCTGCTACAGAACTGGAGGAAGGTCGTCGCCTCGCGTACACCTTCTACTGTCGTCTCCGGGAGCTTACAGCAAAAGTAAGATATTATTATTGTTATTATTATTATTATTATTATTATTATTAGTAGTAGTAGTAGTAGTAGTAGTGATAATAGTAGTAGTGGTATAGTAGTAGTAGTTGTGGTAATAGTAGTAGTGGTATAGTAATAGTAGTACTATATTATTATTATTATTATTAATTATTATTATTAGTAGTAGTGATAATAGTAGTGTGATGAATGGTTATGAAAACCGACAAGTTGAAGAATTGAGATACTAATGCAACACATTAGTGTCTCAATTAGTGTTGCATTAGTGTCTCAGTGTTGCATTAGTGTCTCAATTCTTCGATAATAGTAGTAGTGGTACAGTAGTAGTACTGTATTATTATTATTATTATTATTATTATTATTATTATTAGTGGGTGTAGTAGTTAAATAGTTTGTCAGGCAATACAGTAATAAGAATCATACTTACCTATGGTTTACATAGAATATTTACAGGTATTGAAAGGTAGTAGGATGGTAAACAGCAACCACTCGGGGAGGTACTACCGTCCTAACAAGTGAGTGTAAAAATGAAGCCTGTATTTGTTTTACATGATGGTAGGATTGCTGGTGTCTTTTTTCTGTCTCATGAAAAAGCAAATGCGGTAGTAATTATGGTCAAGGTAGATTATAGTGGAAAAATGAACATGTTATTAGAAGGCGAGGGTATTTACATACCCCTTAACTCTGCCATTTACTTAATTACATGATTCATTACTTTTGTAATTGAGTTCATTACAGTTGTACCTTGTTCAGCTATCAAAACTTTGGGGCCCACTCCCTGGACCCATTATGTACCTCTGTAATCTTTTGACTATCACCCACAGGATGGGTATGGGGTGCATAATAAACATTAAACTAAAAAAAAAAAAAATGTGCAAGATTTCAGGAACGTCTTGCTACTTCTGCTTACACTTAGGTCACACTACACATACATGTACACATTTATGTATACACACTCATCTGAATTTTCTTTGATTTTATCTTAATAATTCTTGTTCTTATTGGAATAAGAATCTTTCTTCGGTAAGCCATGCGTGTTGTAAAAGTCAACTAAAATGCCGGGAACAATGGGCTAGTAACCCCTTTTCCCGTATAGCCTACTAAAAAGAAAGAGAAGAAAACCATTTGGGCTGCAAATACTGCAGCGAGGAGGTGGCTGGAGGCAGTAGAGGTGTCACGTCTAAGGGCAATGTGTGGTGTAAATATTATGCAGAGAATTCGGAGTGTGGAAATTTGGAGGTGTGGAGTTACTAAAAGTATTAAGTCAGAGGGCTGAAGAAGGGTTGTTGAGGTGGTTTGGTCATTAAGAGAGAATGGATCAAAGTAGAATGACTTGGAGAGCACATAAATCTGTAGGGAAAGGAAGGCGGGGTAGGGGTCGTTCTCAAAAAGGTTGGAGGGAGGGAGTAAAGGAGGCTTTTTGGGAGAGGGGCTTGGACTTCCAGCAAGCACGTGTGAGCGTGTTAGATAGGAGTGAATGGAGACGAATGGTTTTTGGGACCTGACAAGCTGTTGGAGTGTAAGCAGGGTAATATTTAGTGAAGGGATTTAGGGAAACTGGTTATTTTTATATAGCCAGACTTGAGTACTGGAAATGGGAAGTACAGTGCCTGCACTTTAAAGGAGGGGTTTAGGATATTAGCAGTTTGGAGAGGCATGTTATGTATCTTTATATATGCTTCTGAACTGCTGTATCTGGGTGCCTCTGCAAAGACAGTGATTATGTGTGAGTGAGGTGAGTGTAGAATGATGAAAGTATTTTCTTTTTTGGGGATTTTCTTTCTTTTTGGGTCATCCTGCCTCGGTGGGAGACGGCAGACTTGTTGAAAAGAAAAAATTACAGAAATACAGTACATATATTACTGTATAATATTTACAAAAAATGCTAAACCATTAAGAGTTATTTAGCAGAACACACATGAGTAGATGAGGGTATCATATTATTGCAGATGCCAAATGATGGGTCATAAGAGAATAAGATACTGTTGGTAGGCAATGATTTTTATATTCTTGACACAAAGAAGCACTAAACTAGTACATCATGCAGTGCCTAGGGAAAGGGATTTTATTATTATAATCAAAACTAAGTGCCAAACCCACCAGGGTCAGTTCAGATCAGCAGTTCTTTTGATCATGTCTCCTATTTTTTTTTCCTGTAATCACCCAGTGAGGGTATGCATGATTTAGCCTTTTAGCATAACGTATTTTTCATCTCTAGAAGCCATTCCATAGTTTGGCATGGCATTATTCTTATTATTACAATCAAAATCAAGTGCTAAACCCACAAGGGTCGTACAGCATGCACTGCTTGTAATTTGCTCACTTTTTTAAGTATGGACTCCATGTTACTATTGCACATAAAATTTTTGGCACAATCTGCATTTTGCACAGCTTTTTAAGCATTTTCTTATCCAAATATCTAAAGTATAAGTTAGCTGTAGAAAAAGTTACTGTATTTCCATAATGAATTTGTTGCATATATAAAATGTTATAGTGTATAATATCAAGGTTGTGTAATTAATTTATAGGTATTAAATGAACTCAGAACAGTTGGATTGGTCATGTACATGCACCATACTCAGAAAATAGTTATTTCTCTTGGTTTAGACACCATTATTATTATAATATTCATGAGAGCTAAACCCATAATGGTTGTACAGCACCAGGGGAAATGGGAAAGAATCAGCTTCAGTCCAAGGAAGGGGAGGACAATTCTAATTCCTTTGATCAAAAGCCTCTCATATATAAGATATTTAGAAGCAATTTCTGTTACAAGGATTACAACTTAATAAGAAAACAGGTTAAAGGTCTCATTACAAATAATTATACATGTATATAATCAACTCTCTTCCTTCCTTGGTGAAGAGACTAGTTGGAGAAACAGTGGACTTCCAAATATAGAGAGGATCATGTATTCTAGCCTGTAAGATGATCTTAATAATTAGAATTATTATTATCAACTAGAAGCACTAAAAATAATATAATCATGGGGAAGCACTAAACCTGTAGGATTATACAGCGCATGTGGGGGGGGGGTGGAAGGTATTCAGGCTCAATTTGGGGAACTGGAGCACAGATCCAATTCCCTAGATCAAGAGCCCTTCACCAGCTTCAAGGAGCCTCCCTTGAGGGGAATAATAATAATACAGTAGTACCTCAGGATACGAACAGCTCAAAACGCGAACAATTATGTAAGTGTATTTATGTAAGTGCTTTTGTAAGTGTATTTTTGGGGGTCTGAAATGGATTAATCTAATTTACATTATTTCTCATGGGAACAAATTCGTTCGGTATCAGCACTCGAACAGCCTTCTGGAACGAAAAAAGTTTGTATCCCAAGGTACCACTGTATTTCCACCTTTTTAGAATATGAAACAGGAGGTGCATTTGTAGTGTAAGAGGCAGCTGTAGTATTCACTGTTTACACAGTGGCCATTATTATATAAATCTTCCATCACAATTTCATGAATATGATTTACTGGTGACAATCTTTGGTTAATGATAAGCTCTTAAAAAGTCTGAAACTTTAGTATTTACCAACACTTGCTTCATGGTAGATAGTTGATGATGGTGGGGCAGGTGGCAAAGGTGCAGATGAAGAGAGAACAGCAAGAGTATTTGAGGGCAGTGACACACTGACAGCAGCTTTAGCAGGGATCCATGACCGCCACCTGGCATTGATAGACTCTCGAGAAGCTGATCTAAGGCAACACTTGCAACAGTGGCTCACTGATACACTGGATGACATCTCAAAGTAAGATAACAGATCTTCCTCTGGGAATTATATATTTCCATGTACAGTATATCCTTGTGTCATAAGTATTACATATTCATGGGAAGTGTTAAACCCACGGGAGTCATACAGTACCTGAAGAATGGGAGATAATCAGGTTTGAGCCAATGGAAAGGATAGTTCCAGTGTCTTGGATTAAGAGCCCTTCACTAGCATCATGGCACTTCCTTTGAATGGGTTATGTCATAATTGCCATGTCTGAGAAATTTTTGTTTAGTTTTCTTATTTAACCCTTAAACTGTTCAAATGTAGATCTACATTCACTCGTGTAGTGCTCTGAACATAGATCTACATTTTTTTTACATAAGAAAGCATGTAAAATCAAACATGGATCTATGTTCGGAGCACCACGCAAGCGAACATAGATCTACGTTTGGACAGTTTGAGGGTTAAGAACAATTTTTCCTACTTCATTAATATCTTTGTATATATCTAAACATCACTTTTATCTCACTGTTATTTATTGTCACTGAAACTTGAGCATCTTTCACATGTAATCACACTTATCACATTCAACAAGGCTTCATAACCACTTTTTTCTACACGGCTTTTCAGTACTAACAATAACCTGCTACTTTTCTCGAAACCAAAACATCTTTGAACTTCCTATAAAATAGACAAATCCTAAGTAGGGACTTGAATGTATATGTTCTCTTTTGAGTACAGTAGATATATTGAAATTTTTGCCATATTGCAGAGAAGAGTGGGCACGACACCGAAGTCGTGTGGAAGAGATCACAACCTTGACAGCCAGACAGCGGCAGCTTCTGTACGATGCATTACCAAGCATACATGAATAATGACCTACTGGCCAAATAAAATTTAATCAGAATTCATCAGAATGGCAAGTACAATGCCTGCATTCTAAAGGAGGGATTTGGGATATTTGCTGTTTAGAGGGACATCTAAACTGTCGTATCTGCTTGTCTCTTGCAAGACAGTAATACTGTGAATGATGGTGATAGCGTTTCTTTTCTGGGTCACCCTGCCTCAGTGGGAGACCAAGGTAGGTGAGGTAGTCAAATTATACAGTGGTACCTTGACTTCAAGGTACCACTGCATAAGTTTAATTCATTCCGTGACCAAAGTCGTACCTCAATTTGCTCGTATGTCAAATCAATTTTCCTCACTGAAATTAATTGAAATGCCATTAATCCATTCCAGCCCCCAAAAAACCACCCTAATTTTTTTTGTTACGGGTTTTTAAATAAGAAAAATGTATTTATGAATAAGAAATTATTTTTGCCTTTTTCACCAGGTCCCAGCAATGTTTTAGAAATGCTGGGGTATATATGAAATTCCTTGAAGCACGGTGTAAGATGAGTGTCACTCCACTGCTGACAGTGCAGCAGTGGAGTGATATTTGATGATCGTGCACTGCCTTGGCTTTATTTTTCACTGTCACACAAACATGTCTATCTGTTTCTGTCTAGCTCTATGTTTATCTCTGTCTTTGCTTATCTGTCTTTCTGTCTTCCTGTCTCTCTACTTGTCTCTCTCTCAGAGAGAGAGCTGCTCATGAACCAACAGGTATTACACATGATGCAGAGTTGTCACGTCTGATTCCTGAACAAGTGAAAATATGTATTACTTGCCAGTCTTCAAGCAGGCACTGGACAAGCACCTAAAGTCGGTACCTGACCAACCGGGCTGTGGCTCGTACATTGGATTGTGTGTAGCCAGCAGTAACAGCCTGGTTGATCAGGCTCTGATCTACCAGGTGGCCTGGTCACAGACGGGGCCGCGGGGGTGTTGACCCCAGGAACTCTCTCCAGGTAAACTCCAGGTATGCCTTATACCTACAAGCATAGTTTAGCACTGTCTTGATTTTTTGGGTTATCCTAGGTAATTTACACTATGTATTGATGAGGGAAATAAGGCGAGTGGTGCGTTGAGGTATATGTGGAGTCAAAAAATGTTATCTATGGAGGCAAAGAAGGGAATGTATGAAAGTATAGTAGTACCAACACTCTTATATGGGTGTGAAGCTTGGGTTGTGAATGCAGTAGTGAGGAGGCGGTTGGAGGCAGTGGAGATGTCCTGTCTAAGGGCAATGTGTGGTGTAAATATTATGCAGAAAATTCGGAGTGTGGAAATTAGGAGGTGTGGAGTTAATAAAAGTATTAGTCAGAGGGCTGAAGAGGGTTTGTTGCGGTGGTTTGGTCATTTAGAGAGAATGGATCAAAGGATGACATGGAGAGCATTTAAATCTGTAGGAGAAGGAAGGTGGGGTAGGGGTCGTCCTCGAAAAGGATGGAAGGAAGGGGTAAGGGAGGTTTTGTGGGCGAGGGGCTTGGACTTCCAGCAGGCATGCATGAGCGTGTTCGATAGGAGTGAATGGAGACAAATGGTATTTGGGATCTGACGATCTGTTGGAGTGTGATCAGGGTAATATTTAGTGAAGGGATTCAGGGAAACCGGTTATTTTTATATAGCCGGACTTAAGTCCTGGAAATGGGAAGTACAATGCCTGCACTCTAAAGGAGGGGTTCGGGATATTAGCAGTTTGGAGGGATATGTTGTGTATCTTTATACGTAGTATATGCTTCTAAACTGTTGTGTTCTGAGCACCTCCGCAAAAACAGTGATTATGTGTGAGTGTGGTGAAAGTGTTAAATGATGATGAAAGTATTTTCTTTTTGGGGATTTTCTTTCTTTTTGGGTCACCCTGCCTTGGTGGGAGACGGCCGACTTGTTGAAAAAAAAAAAATAACTATTTGTGTGTACTTGTTAGATAAGAGACAGCCAACGCAAATCAACCAGCCAGCCGGCCTGCCGAACATGTGTTACACATATTCCAGAATTGTTTCTCTTTACTTAGGGCATACGTTATAGAACATTCTGGCAGGATGACATTACCAGTGATATCAAAATTGAAAGGATGTTACACATTGGTTATCTAGGTTTTTGATATTTCCTCGGTGTCTCCTGTGAGTGGCGGTGTATCTGAAGCTCACTTTTAACTCAAGTTTTGGCTCACAACACAAAGTAAAAAATTGACCGAGCGATGGCTCGTAACTCAGAAAACTTGTAAGTTGGGGCTCTCGTAAGTCAAGGTACCACTGTATATCCAAATATTACAATGGAGCAACACATGAAGGATCAATGTACAGCAAGATATACTTATTATTAAAACATTTATAGTAAAACATATGTACAGTTTATGAAATAGTATTCAGCAGTGACAAGTTCCCAGTGAAATATAATCAACATAGGTAAGATACAAGAAAGCTTGTGTTAAATGTCATGAAGAAAGTTTTTCAGTAAAAGTAAGTCTAACTCTGTAGTCACCACAATAATTTAAATAAACTCTACAATATATATAAAAATATCTTGGTAAATCTAGAGTACATGTGAATTTTTCTATAATAGCACAAACACTTGGATGCTTGCTACCCTAATTTCCAACTAAGCACCTAATTATTATTATTATAATAAAAAAGAAGCACTAAGCCACAAGGGCTATACAGCACTAAGCACCTAAGTACTGAGCCATCTTATTTCACTGAAATATTCATTATGTAGAATAATGCCCTAAATATTTAATCATGTTAGCAATATTAAAATTGTAGTTTATTCTAAAAAATATTCTGACAGCTATTTTGAAATTTACCTAGTAATATATTGTCAGTTAAATTTATTTTAGTGTTATAAATAAATTATATTATATTATAAATAAATTATATTATAGGTAGTAGGTTGGTAGACAGCAACCACCCAGGGAGGTACTACCATCCTGCCAAGTGAGTGTAAAACGAAAGCCTGTAATTGTTTTACATGATGGTAGGATTGCTGGTGTCTTTTGTCTGTCTCATAAACATGCAAGATTACAGGTACGTCTTGCTACTTCTACTTACACTTAGGTCACACTACACATACATGTACACGTTTATTTATACACACTCACCTGAGTTTTCTTTGATTTTATCTTAATAGTTCTTGGTCTTATTACTTTTCCTTTTATATCCATGGGGAAGTGGAATAAGAATCTTTCCTCCATAAGCCATGCGTGTTGTAAAAGTCAACTAAAATGCCGGGGAACAATGGGCTAGTAACCCTTTTCCTGTAAAGATTACTAAAAAGAATAAGAAAAAAGAAAATTGTAAAAAGTGGGAAGTCTGAATGTGCGTGGATGTTGTGCAAATGATAAGAAAGAGATGATTGTGGATTTTTATGAATGAGAAGAAAACTGGATGTCCTGGCTTTAAAGTGAAAACAAAGTAAAGAGGGTGGGAGAGTTTCAATGGAGAGGAATAAATGGGATTAGGTCAGGGGTTTCAAATAGAGTTAGAGCTAAAGAAGGAGTAGGCAATAATGTTGAAGGATAAGCTATGGCAGGAAAAGAGGGACTACAAATGTATAAATTCAAGGATTATGTGGAGTAAAATAAAGATTGGATGTGAAAAGTGGGTTATAGTAAGCGGTGTATGCCCCTGGAGAAGAGAGAAGTGTAGAGGAGAGAGAGAGATTCTGGGAAATGTTGAGTGAATACTTTGGGGATTTTTTGAATCAAGTGTGAGAGTAATGGTGGTTGGGGATTTCAATGCTAAAGTGGGTAAAAATGTTATGGAGGGGGGTAGTAGGTAAATTTGGGGTTTGCCAGGGGTAATTGTAAATGGGGACCTTTAATTGAGCTATGTTTTAGAAAGAAATTTGGTAATAAGTAATACATATTTTATGAAAAAGAGGATAAATAAAAAATACAAGGTATGATGTACACGTAATGAAAGTTTGTTAGATTATGTATTGGTGGATAAAAGGTTGATGGGTAGGCTCCAGGTGTACATGTTTATAGAGGGGCAACTGATATATCGGATCATTATTTAGTTTTTAGCTACAGTTAGAGTAAGAGGTAGATGGGAAAAGAGGAAGGTGGCAACAACAAGTAAGAGGGAGGTGAAAGTGTATAAACTAAGGGAGGGGGAAGTTGGGGCGAGATATAAGCGACTATTGGCAGAAAGGTGGGCTAGTAAAAGATGATAGGGGGGGGGTTGAAGGGGGGTTGGAATAGTTTTAAAAAATGCAGTTTTTAAGAATGTGGGGCAAAGTTTTGGTTATAGGAGGGGGGGGGCAGGAGGAAAGAGGAGTGTTGGTGAAAATGAAGAAAGGGGTGATAAAAGAGAAAAAAGGTAGCTTACAGGGGTTTTTTACAAAGCATAAGTGTTAAAGAAGACAGAGTTATGGAGATAAAAAAAAGGGTGAAGGAGTGGTGAAGAGTGCAAAAGGAGAGCAGTGAAAGAGGGGGGAGGGCACTGTCAAAAAATTTTTAATGAAAATAAAAAAAATTTTTGGAGTGAGTTAAAAAAGTTAAGAAACCCTAGGGAAAGTAGGGATTTGTCAGAAAAAAGAGTAGGGGGTTATTGATGGGGAGGGGGAGTATTAGGTAGAGGGCGAAAATTTTTTGAGGAATTTTTAAAAATTTGAGGAAGAAAGGGGGAGGGGGTAATTTATGCACTGGCCAGGGGGGTATACCACTTTTAGGAGTGAAAAGGGCAAATGTAAGTGTGGTGGAACGGGGGCATTCGTAGAATGAAAGGGGAAAGCAGCTGGAATGATGGGATCTGAAGAAATTTAAAAGCGGGGGGGTAAGTGTTGGAGTGGTTGGTACTTTTGTTTAAAAAATGTATGAAAGGGGGGAAAGGGTACCGGGAATTGGTGGAGAGCATGTATAGTCCCTTTATATAAAGGGAAAGGGGAAAAAAAGAGATAGTAAACTTATTCCTCAAATTTTTTACGAGTATACGGGAAAAGTATAGGGTGGGGTTATAATTGAAAGAATAGAGGTTAAGACAGAATGTAGGATTGCGGAGGCAGGGAGGCTTCAGAGTGGGTAGGGGATTGAAATCAATGTTTACATTAAGCATATATTGAACAGTATTTAATAAAGGTGGGGAAGTTTTTTTTGCATTTATGGATTTAAAAAAGGCATATGATAGGTGGATAGAGGACAATGTGGCAGATTTGCAATATATGGAATAGGTGGAAGTTATTAAAGCGAAAAGAGCTTTTATGGGGTTTGTGGGCTAGGTTAGGGTGTGTAGAAGAGAGGGAGCTATTTCCCCGGGTAAAAGTGGGTCTTAACAGGGATTGAATTCCCCAGGTTGTTTAAAAATTTTTTTTAGTGGGGTTGAAAGGAAAAAAATGCTAGGTGTTTGGGAAAGGGGGGTGGGTTAAATTTAGGGGGAATAAAATTTCAAAATGGGAATTGACACATTTACTTTTTGCTGATGATACTGTGCTTTTGGGAGATTTAAAGAAAATTTCAAAAGGGTTGTGGATATTTGAGAATGTGGTAAAGGTAGAAAGTTGAAATGAACATAAAAAAGTAAGGTGATGAGGGTATCAAATGATTTAGATAAAGAAGATTTGGGTATCAAATTGGGGGGGGGATAGGAAGAATAATGTTTCAGAACTTGGAGTTTAAGTGTCGGGGGATGGATTTAAAGGGTGAGGTTAACATAGAATTATGGGGAAAAAAAGGTGAGTGGTGCGGGGAGGGTTTTGTCGAGTCAAAAAACGTTATCTAGGAGGCAAAAAAGGAATGTATGAAAGTATAATGTACCAACACCTTTATTGGATGTGAAGCTTGGGTGGGAAATGCAGAGCGAGAGACGGTTGGAGGGATGAGATTCCTGTCTAAGGGCAATGTGTGGTGTAAATGTTTTGCAAAAATTCAGGGGAAATTAGGAGAAGGTGTGGAGTTAATAAAAGCATTAGTCAGAGGGCAGAAGAGGGGTTGTTGAGGTGGTTTGGTCATTTAGAGAGAATGGATCAAAGTAGAATGACATGGAAAGCATATACAGGTCTCCCTCAACATTCACGTTTTCAGCTTTCGCAGGCTTCACACATTCGCGAATTCCCAACCGCCAAATCCCCAGCCGCCAAATTCCCAGCCGCCAAATCATATTCAAGTTTCCCGCCACCTGCGAGTCCCTACTACCCTCCCACCGACCCCCGCAGCTGGCAGCCAGCTCTCCCACCACTCAGTGTGGCGAGTGTTTTGTTTGTTCATTATTTGCTATTAAACTACAGTATAAATAATGTAAACACATTCATGACTGCATATTGGAATGGCTATTTGGACAGGTATTAGACGGTGACATCATGTGTTTACTCTTGAACACAGCAAAGAATCAAACATTTCTGCTACTGCTAATAATAACAATAGTAATAATAATAATAATATTATTATTATTATTAATAATAATAATAATAATAATACAATATAATTGAAGAAGGAAATTGTACAAAAATACGAGGGAGTGGTTTTGTGGCTTTGTTTATGCTGGAGTGAACATTAGTCTCCGTGTTCTTCCAAACATTTCACAATAATTCATTGTTTGGTGCTTGTAGATTGAGTGCGACTGGAGTGGTTGAGGCAGTGGTAGAGGTGATAGAGGCAGTGGTTGAGGCAGTGGTAGAGGCAGTGATAGTGGTAGAGGCAGTGGTAGAGGCAGTGATATTTACTAACATATATGTTATAAATAATAATAGTACATTATGAATAACATTTATTATTATTATAAATGTTATTAATATTAACATGTACTATTATTACTTATAACATACGTATATGTTAGTAAATACCACTGCCTCACCCACTGCCTCTACCACTGCCTCAACCGCTGAATTATTGTGAAATGTTTGGAAGAGCACGGAGACTAATGTTCACTCCAGCATAAACAAAGCCACACTGAAGATGTGTCAACCACTCCCTCGTATTTTTGTACAATTTCCTCCTTCAATTATATCGTATTATTATTATTATTATTATTATTATTACTATTGTTATTATTAGCAGTAGCAGAAATGTTTGATTCTTTGCTGTGTTCAAGAGTAAACACATGTCACCATCCAATACCTGTTCCAATATGCAGTCATGAATGTGTTTACATTATTTATACTGTAGTTTAATAGCAAATAATGAACGAACAAAACACTCACCACACTGAGTGGTGGGAGGGCTGGCTGCCAGTTGCGGGGGTCGGAGGGAGGGTAGTAGGGACTCGCAGTGGTGGAGGAAGTGGTGTAGTCTGTGGTATTTAATAACATACATGTTATTAAAGCATAACATGTATATATTTAGTACAATTTACGACGTTTTCATGTATTTTATGATTGTTCATGGTTCAACAAGTTAAGCAGTATTGTATCATATTTCCCTACAATATATTGGGGCACCAAACATTCACGGTTTTTCAACATTCGCGAGGCTCTTGATCCCCTAACCCTCGCGAATGTTGAGGGACACCTGTAAATCTATAGGGGAAGGAAAGAGGGGTAGGGGTCATCCTTGAAAGGGTTGGAAAGAGGGGGTAAAGGAGGTTTTGTGGGCGAGGGGCTTGGACTTCCAGCAAGCGTGCATGAGCGTGTTAGATACGAGTGAATGGAGACGAATGATACTTGGGACCTGACGATCTGTTGGAGTGTGAGCAAGGTAATATTTAGTGAAGGGATTCAGGGAAACCGGTTATTTTCATATAGTCGGACTTGAGTCCTGGAAATGGGAAGTACAATGCCTGCACTTTAAATGAGGGGTTTGGGATATTGGCAGTTTGGAGGGATATGTTGTGTATCTTTATACGTATATGCTTCTAAGCTGTTGTATTCTGAGCACCTCTGCAAAAGCAGTGATAATGTGTGAGTGTGGTGAAAGTGTTGAATGATGATGAAAGTATTTTCTTTTTGGGGATTTTCTTTCTTTTTTGGGTCACCCTGCCTCGGTGGGAGACGACCGACTTGTTGAAAAAAAAAAAATTATGTTTTGATATTGCTTGCTGCTTTGTGTTTGCTCTTTTGTGTCTAATGAGAAAAGGAATACTGTAAGTTATAGTTCCGAGATTTACTGGGAAAATGTTTCTAGACATCTTCCCTGTGAATCCCGAAGTTGCAAAAGAATGTGCAGAATTACTAAATTATCTCTGTACAACAAGTTTTATTTCAGTTTTTTTCAGAGGCCATACCTCCTTAAATATCATTTTAACTTTAGTAATACTGAAATTTTGAAGAATATCCAGAAAAGAGAGCTGTGGAAGTGGGAAATCCAATTATCACATTTTGATCAAAGATCCAATGGTCAATATTCAGTTTAGGGTGTAAGCCTGGCTTTCATCTTGTTAATCCTTGCAGTGGTGCAATCTGAATGTAGCTCCAGGCAGTATTCCCTGCCACTCTCTTATCATGATTGGCCTGGTATAAGCAGGTTCTACTGCTGCTGCTCAAACAAACTGGCAAACAAACTGGCTCTGGCATATGACAGCTAGCACTAGTCAATGTTCACTGATATTTCCTTATACCCTATGTTTGTATCTGCTCACCTTTCATTGTTACTGCAGTCTACACAAACAAAAGGGGTTATTTGCCAAAACAAAATGGGCACAATGGAAAAATGTTAATAATCATTGCTATTTAGGTAAGACCCTTAAGTAAAAAAAGAAAAAAAAAAAAAGCAAGCAAATTTGGATGGCTGTGAATTTTATATTGACAACAGAGGATTAGCAATATACAGTATGTATTTAAAATCTCTATATGGAGTAACACCCTCATTAAAATGAAAAAAAAAAAAAAGTTTTTAAAATGGTTGCCATTGTTTAGCATCCATCTGAGTTTATGGACACATTAACATGAATCATTTATGATATTGAAATGTGCCACAAGAGTGGAGGATATTAAAACCATTCACTAAAGATTAATCCCTAACTTGTGAATTGTGGCTTTTGCTGTCAATGCCATGTTCTGTCTTAGTACTACCTAGTATGTCTAGTACTACATGCTGAGATCTTCAGTTATGAATGAAAGTTATGATGATTTTTCCAATAATGAAATTTGATTTTTTAAATATGCTGGCCGTCCCCTACTGAGATAGGGTGACTCAATGAAACAGGAAGCAAATTAACCATTATTCACTGAATTACTGTCTTGTCAGCTGTGTTCTGATATAAATCAACAGAATGACACAGTGGAAGACATTTTATCTAAATATCATGACTGAATTTGCTTCATAGTTTCCAGGGGCAAGTGGAAAAGAATCCTTCCTCCATAAGCCATGCATGTTGTAAGAAACAACTAAAATGTTGGCAGCAAGGGGCTAGTAACCCCTTCTGTATAAATTACTAAATGTAAAAAGAAAAACCTGTTTTTTTTTTTTTAAGTCGCCTTGCCTTAGTGGAAGATGGCCAGTGTGTTGAAAAGAAAAAAAAATTACATCATATTTAATTTTCAAAAATATCTACTAGGTATCTCAGTTGCAATGCAAAATTTGAGTACTGATAGTTTTTAAGAAACTTTTTAAATGTGAAATATTTACCAAAGGAAGATGTAATCTACGAGTAACAATTCACCATCTTGGAGTCTACCATTATGTTCAACGCCTTCTATAGCAGGTGGCCAAACATGGGTATATACAGCATTTATTCTTTAAAACACTATATAAAATGATACATCCCAGAGGCAAAAAGTGGCATATTCTAGCTTAAGAGTGGTCTACATGCCACCAGATTCTAATTAAAAAATTATAGGGTAAATTTTTTACCAATACACAACTTAGCCCATTCAATTTTAATTGCATATTACATTAGTTAATGGCTAAAAGAAGGTATTTGAAGAATCAGGTGCCATGATTTCCCACATTTTAATATACCAGTAGGAAGCTAAGTTTCCATTGTCTTTAAAAACAAAATGACTAGCACCATAACAACATCTCTTATGTTCATATTAACTATACTGCTAAAATTTTAAACATTTCTATATAATTTAATTTTATAATCAGAAGTTTTAATTTTATGTCCAAGTTTCCATAGGCAGCAAAAACTCCTTGGTCCCCACACCAGGCTTCAAGGCTTCATCTTTTAGAAAATCCAGAGGAAACTGCACCAAATGTCCCTGCAGGAAGAGGAAACTAATAAGTAACTTAATATGCAGTACTGTATAGAACATGCAGGAATAGACTACAAATTAATGAGAAATATGATGGGCAAATTAAAAGTTAAGGATATATGAAGCAGCAGTATCTACTTAAGTAATACTACTAAAACACTATCTTCATAAACACAATAAAACATTAATATCCAGTTTAAACATTATACAGTGCATAAGGAATATCTGATGGCAGGTAAAGGTGCCATGATCACAATATCCAAGGTAAGTTATGCAGTTGTGTGTGTGTGTGTGTGTGTGTGTGTAAAAATTAGTATTAAAATATAAAGTAATTACCATTGTATTTTACAAACAAAAATCATTACATAAATTAAGAGATGTATCTGAATACATCTGCTAACAAACAAGTTACCTGAACTTGACTTAGTCTTGCTTGTGCATCTGTTGGATTCACTTCTGCAAGACTGGTAGTTTGTCTTAACTTATCCACTGCCTCAAAAGTTGTTGCACTGTTGCATGGATAGCAGGAGAACACCTGGTATGCATTAAATATTAATTATAAAACAAAATATGAGACAATTGTTATCGGATATGCTATTCCTAATAATTTATGAAACCATTACTTATTCAATTATTTGCATGCAAATGGTTTTCTGTTATATTATGAAGGGCTCAAGATTTCAGACTGATAAAAGTTATTACTTTTGTATTTTGATGGGTGCTTTAAAAAAACTGCTTGTTTTATATAAAATAAAGAACCATGCCTATAGTATCTATACTGGTACATACACGGGTTATTGAAAAAAAGCACTCCAATGTGAGTGCTGACAGGTAGTGCTGATGTTAGATCAGTATGCTACTAGAAGTTATAGAAAAGCTGTAATGGTTTTCCTCTGAGAGAGAATTATGGGCTTCAGAGAATGTAAAGTATCTGAAACTAATTATTATTATATTATGTATAAGATAGATGGTACTCCAAGAAACTATTAATTTGTCAATTTACTGTAGTGACACAATAACATAAGGCAAAATCAATGTCTAAGAGTAATAATATTATACAGCATTGTATTCACAAAATGTGCTAAAACCATGTGGATTATTCAATAGCAACAACAGTTATATTAAAATGGTAAAAGTGAGCAATCCTTAAGCAGACCTAACACGTGGTGTAAGCACATAGGTGCAAATGAGCAAGATAAGTTCATCTAAATATGAGAGATCCTGACAGTGCTCTATTGATATGCATAAATATATTTTTTTACAGCGTAACAAAATGACTAAAACCTTACCTCCTCATAAAGTAATGTATTTTTTACAGCAGTGCGACACCAGATATCCATAAAGAATGCATCAGAGATAGGATCACAAACGTCAATAGATGGTACTTCACAGTCTTGAACACCTAAGTGTTCACTGAACAAGTATTTCCTCATACTACCTGCGAACACCCCAGCATTATATGGCTCTCCATTCATGAGGCTATCCTCAAACTCCTGATCCTGTGAAAAATAATTATCATACTGTAAACTTAAAATTCTAAGCATTAATACAGTAGCCAAACACAGGACACAGATAAAACTTAATTGGTAATTATGTGAAATATACTATTTTTTTTTTCAACACACTGGCCGTATACCACCAAGGCAGAGTGACTTAAAAAGAATAATGACAGTTTTTCTTTTTAAATTTTTGTCGCCTCTTATGACATGCATGGCTTATGGAGAAGGAATTCTTTTCCATTTCCCCATGGAGTAAATATACTATTATAGAAGGTAATTTGTTGGATTATGTGATGGTGTATTTCAACTTGCATCTACTAAGAATAATGTCAACGTGGGAAATATTTTTAAGCTAGAATGTATAGAGTAAATATACGTAAATGCCTAGATTAACTAAACATATGTCTATAATGTATATGTTAATTTCAAACAGTAATCATGTGTACATGCTTCTGTATGTTACTATAAGATGTATACAGTGGGCACCCAGACAAAAAGACACCTGTCTGACGGGTGAGAAGTGGAGGAAGTTGACCTGTCTACTTGCCCAGGCTGGCAGCAAATAAAAGTGAACTGGACAGGAATGATTTGTGTCCAGTTGTACAAGCTCTCCATGTGGGGCTAAAACCATGCAACAAAAGAGTCCTCGACATCATACAATTAGATGGCCATTGTCATGGATGGCCATTGTCATGGCAGGGTGACCCACGAGAAAGAAAAACCCAAAAAAGAAAGAAAAAAATTTCATTATCATTTAACACTTTCACCATCCCTCATACATAATCACTGTCTTTGCAAAGGCACTCAGATATGACAGTTTAGACAGTCACTCCAAACTGCTAATAACCTAAACATACATTTTTTTTTTCAACAAACCGGCCGTATCCCACCAAGGCAGGGTGGCCCAAAAAGAAAAATGAAAGTTTCTCTTTTTAAATTTAGTAATTTATAAAGGAGAAAGGGTTACTGGGCCCTTGCTCCCAGCATTTTAGTCACCTCTTACAACACGCATGGCTTACGGAGGAAAAATTCTGTTCCACTTCATCATGGAGATAAGAGGAAATAAACAAGAACAAGCACTAGAAAGAAAATAGAAGAATAACCCAGAGGGATGTGTATATACATGTATATGCTTGTATACATGTATGCATAGTGTGACCTAAGTGTAAGAAGAAGTAGCAAGACGTACCTGAAATCTCGCATGTTTATGAGACAGAAAAAAGACACCAGCAATCCTACCATCATGTAAAACAATTACAAGTTTCCGTTTTACGCTCACTTGGCAGGACGGTAGTACCTCCCTGGGCGGTTGCTGTCTAGCAACCTACTACCTACTAAATAAATAAATAAATAAATAAATTATATAATATATATATAAATAAATAAATAAAAGTCAACTAAAATGCCGGGAACAATGGGCTAGTAACCCCTTTTCCTGTAAAGATTACTAAAAAGAATAAGAAGAAGAAAATTGTCAAAGTGGGAAGTCTGAATGTGTGTGGATGTTGTGCAAATGATAAGAAAGAGATGATTGTGGATGTTATGAATGAGAAGAAACTGGATGTCCTGGCTTTAAGTGAAACAAAGCTGAAGGGGGTGGGAGAGTTTCAATTGGATCTGTTGGAGTGTGAGCAGGGTAATATTTAGTGAAGGGATTCAGGGAAACCGGTTATTTTCATATAGTCGGACTTGAGTCCTGGAAATGGGAAGTACAATGCCTGCACTTTAAAGGAGGGGTTTGGGATATTGGCAGTTTGGAGGGATATGTTGTGTATCTTTATATGTTTATGCTTCTAGACTGTTGTATTCTGAGCACCTCTGCAAAAACAGTGATAATGTGCGAGTGTGGTGAAAGTGTTGAATGATGATGAAAGTATTTTCTTTTTGGGGATTTTCTTTCTTTTTTGGGTCACCCTGCCTCGGTGGGAGACGGCCGACTTGTTGAAAAAAAAAAAAAAAAAAAAAAAATAAATTCGAAGTGTGGAAATTAGGAAAAGGTGTGGAGTTAATAAAAGTATTAGTCAGAGGGCAGAAGAAGGGTTGTTGAGGTGGTTTAGTCATTTAGAGAGAATGGATCAAAGTAGAATGACATGGAAAGCATATAAATCTATAGGAGAAGGAAGGCGGGGTAGTGGTCATCCTCGAAAGGGTTGGAGAGAGGGGGTAAAGGAGGTTTTGTGGGCGAGGGGCTTGGGCTTCCAGCAAGCATGCATGATCGTGTTAGATAGGAGTGAATGGAGACGAATGATACATGGGACCTGACAATCTGTTGGAGTGTGAGCAGGGTAATATTTAGTGAAGGGATTCAGGGAAACCGGTTATTTTCATATAGTCGGACTTGAGTCCTGGAAATGGGAAGTACAATGCCTGCACTTTAAAGGAGTGGTTTGGGATATTGGCAGTATGGAGAGATATGTTTGTGTATCTTTATACGTATATGTTTGTAAACTGTTGTATTCTGGGCACCTCTGCAAAAGCAGTGATAATGTGTGAGTGTGGTGAAAGTGTTGAATGATGATGAAAGTATTTTCTTTTTGGGGATTTTCTTTCTTTTTTGGGTCACCCTGCCTCGGTGGGAGACGACCGACTTGTTGAAAAAAAAAAAAAAATATATATATATATATATATATATATATATATATATATATATATATATATATATATATATATATATATATACAGTGGACCCCCGCATAACGATTACCTCCAAATGTGACCAATTATGTAAGTGTATTTATGTAAGTGCGTTTGTACGTGTATGTTTGGGGGTCTGAAATGGACTAATCTACTTCACAATATTCCTTATGGGAAAAAATTCGGTCAGTACTGGCACCTGAACATACTACTGCAATGAAAAAAGTTCGTTAACCGGGGGTCCACTGTATATGTATGTCTTGCTACTTCTACTTACACTTAGGTCACACTACACATACATGTACACATTTATTTATACACACTCATCTGAGTTTTCTTTGATTTTATCTTAATAGTTCTTGGTCTTATTACTTTTCCTTTTATATCAATGGGAAGTGGAATAAGAATCTTTCCTCTGTAAGCCATGCGTGTTGTAAAAGTCAACTAAAATGCTGGGAACAATGGGCTAGTAACCCCTTTTCCTGTAAAGTTTACTAAAAAGAATAAGAAGAAGAAAATTGTCAAAGTGGGAAGTCTGAATGTGTGTGGATGTTGTGCAAATGATAAGAAAGAGATGATTGTGGATGTTATGAATGAGAAGAAGCTGGATGTCCTGGCTTTAAGTGAAACGAAGCTGAAGGGGGTGGGAGAGTTTCAATGGAGAGGAATAAATGGGATTAGGTCAGGGGTTTCAAATAGAGTTAGAGCTAAAGAAGGAGTAGCAATAATGTTGAAGGATAAGCTATGGCAGGAAAAGAGGGACTACAAATGTATAAATTCAAGGATTATGTGGAGTAAAATAAAGATTGGATGTGAAAAGTGGGTTATAGTAAGTGTGTATGCACCTGGAGAAGAAAGAAGTGTAGAGGAGAGAGAGATTTTGGGAAATGTTGAGTGAATGCGTGGGGAGTTTTGAATCAAGTGTGAGAGTAATGGTGGTTGGGGATTTCAGTGCTAAAGTGGGTAAAAATGTTATGGAGGGAGTAGTAGGTAAATTTGGGGTGCCAGGGGTAAATGTAAATGGGGAGCCTTTAATTGAGCTATGTGTAGAAAGAGATTTGGTAATAAGTAATACATATTTTATGAAAGAGAGGATAAATAAATATACAAGGTATGATGTAGCACGTAATGAAAGTAGTTTGTTAGATTATGTATTGGTGGATAAAAGGTTGATGGGTAGGCTCCAGGATGTACATGTTTATAGAGGAGCAACTGATATATCGGATCATTATTTAGTTGTAACTACAGTTAGAGTAAGAGGTAGATGGGAAAAGAGGAAGGTGGCAACAACAAGTAAGAGGGAGGTGAAAGTGTATAAACTAAGGGAGGAGGAAGTTCGGGGGAGATATAAGCGACTGTTGGCAGAAAGGTGGGCTAGTGCAAAGATGAGTAGTGGGGGGGGTTGAAGAGGGTTGGAATAGTTTTAAAAATGCAGTATTAGAATGTGGGGCAGAAGTTTGTGGTTATAGGAGGGTGGGGGCAGTGGTAGTGGTCGTCCTCGAAAGGGTTGGAAAGAGGGGGTAAAGGAGGTTTTGTGGGCAAGGGGCTTGGACTTACAGCAAGCGTGCGTGAGCGTGTTAGATAGGAGTGAATGGAGACGAATGGTACTTGGGACCTGACGATCTGTTGGAGTGTGAGCAGGTTAATATTTAGTGAAGGGATTCAGGGAAACCGGTTATTTTCATATAGTCGGACTTGAGTCCTGGAAATGTGAGGTACAATGCCTGCACTTTAAAGGAGGGGTTTGGGATATTGGCCGTTTTATAGGGATATGTTGTGTATCTTTATACGTATATGCTTCTAAACTGTTGTATTCTGAGCACCTCTGCAAAAACAGTGATTATGTGTGAGTGTGGTGAAAGTGTTGAATGATGATGAAAGCATTTTCTTTTTGAGGATTTTCTTTCTTTTTTGGGTCACCCTGCCTCAGTGGGAGACGGCCAACTTGTTGAAGAAAAAAAAAAAAAAAAAAAAAAAAAAAAAAAAAAATATATATAATATATATATATATATATATATATATATATATATATATATATATATATATATATATATATATATAATATATATATATATATATATATATATATATTATATTATATTTTTTTCAACAAGTCTGCTGTCTCCCACTGAGGCGGGGTGACCCAAAAAGAAAGAAAATCTCCAAAAAGAAAATACTTTCATCATCATTCAACACTTTCACCTCACTCATACATAATCTGTCTTTGCAGAGGCACTCAGATACAACAGTTTAGATGTCCCTCTAAACTGCCAATATCCTAAACCCCTCCTTTAACCCTTAAACTGTCCAAATGTACATCTACATTCACTCGTGTAGCGCTCTGAACGTAGATCTACGTTCGGAG